GCAGTTGTTCAAGGTAAAGAATCTGTAGATTATCAACATTAGACTCAATACTCTTTATAATGGTTTATAAAGTTGTTCTTGCTTTTGGTTACATGTTTTGCTTTTATTTATTCAGTGTTCAGAAGAGTGAGCTCGTAAATTGTTACGGATAGAAAATGGAATATTTATATTTATTAAGTAATGGAAGATGAGATTACATTTTATTCACTCCTTCCTTCTTTAATATTCAGAAACCACTTTGTCTTTTTTTAAAATTTTTATTGAAGGCCATCAATGAATAAGATGATTCCTTTTAGTTCTAGTTCAGTGGAAAATGAAGGCTGAATTCTTTCCATCCAGACATTATAAATGGCAACAGAAATCCCTGAAGAGGGATTTTTAAAAAAATAATAATAATCAGTCTGTAATTGAAACCAACATGTCACAGGAGGTGCCACTAGGCAGGATTTGGCAGGGAACTCATCTAATTCAAATGTCTAGAAATATCTGTCAATACCCCAGCTGTATTTTGTGAGCTGTGCTGCACTGCCCAGCACTCCAGCATGCTGCACCTGCCTCTGTGGGGTTTGTGCAGAGCACAGCAAATGATCTGCAGGGCTGCAGTGACATCTGCTGATGCGCCAATTTGCTGCAGAAACCAGCAGTGTCTGACTGCAAACTTACAGGGCAGCCTTGTCATTTATAACACATAAATACACCTAAAATAGCACTTGGCAGATGGGTTGGGGTTTTTGTTCGCTGAAGAAGCAGAACTTCTGGCTAGGAAATAAACCAAGTATCTTTACCTCCTTTCTTGACATCTCATGTCTTTAAAAATCAAAACCAAAGTTCCTACATTCCTACCTTATTTTGAAAACTCTATCTAGACTAGTATTTTTTACTAGTATTTATTTACTAGTATTTACAGTATTATTTACTAGTATTTATCTAGTATTTTTTGGACGCTTTTGGTTCTTCTGCCCTGAGATCTTGATGCAGTCCAAGCATGTAGGCAGTTGATAAAGCTTGAGGGACATGATTCCTTAATTTGGTAAGTAAAAATCTCTTGTTCCAAAGCAAACCTATCCAAAGGGCCAGCAGGGTAGCCAGCCCTACCTCCAGTACCTCTGTGCATCCATTCACAGGGAAACCACATGGAGCATCAGCCCCCAGGCAGGCTTCTCAAGCCTGTTGCCTTATTTTCAGTGCTTTGCTTCCTATACAAATGTCCCCAAGGGAAATCCATCCCCTATGGCTCTACAGATGAGCTGATACCTCTGAAGAAGAGAGGCACTGATGCAGCACAGTAATGTGTGCTTCTGCTGCCTGCCCAGGTCAGTGCAGCAGTGAAGTCGGCACACGGGGAAGGAGAGCATAGCCCATGCTGCAGCTGTAGGGCTGGGGAGTTAGTGGTGCTGGCTGAGTTCAAGTTGATGTAAGTGTGCCAGGCAGGATGAGGCTTTTGCTGTGTTGCCTCACACCAAATGACTAACTGTCTAGTTTGCTCTTTATTTGCAAAAACAATGAAAGGAGGTCTTGAAGTTGTTAGCATTTCAGATAGTCATGAGTCAGGCTGCTAGCTGATTTGAGATAAACTTGTACACAAACATTTGCTTTTGTGCTCTGAAAATACAGTCAATTTAGACTGGTTTGTTCTCACGCCAGGATGTGCTTCTGTCCTGTTCCTACACCAAGCTTGGCTATTGACACTCCTTTTTTTGTGTCATTATCAGGGCTACCAGTGATTTGAACTGCTCAGGGATGAATGTTTATACTTTCTTTCCACCCCTGCTTGTCTGAGTAAAACACAATTCTGTTATCTCTCCCTCCATCCCTATCTAAAACTAACTTTCAGAACAAGAAATAACCTAATCCTGTACTTTTATATATTCTTCTGAATTGGAGCTTATTAGAACATTGGTACTTCTTGATCATTTCAATCTCTCCAGATACAAGAACTACAGAGACCTGCAAATCTAGTAGTAAAGAGTGCAAGTTAAACAGCATCTTCCTTTTTCAGGATCTAAATGTCAGTGTGCAGCCAAGCTATTTTATCATGCCATTACTTTTCTATCCTTGAGCCTTCTGTGACATTGAACTACCTCAGTGAGAAGAGGTGGTACTTCTAGCAGAGCAGTCCAAGATAGACTTTATCAATAATTCACACAGAAGGTAGAAAAATAATGAGGATGGCCTCAAGCCAAGCTTTGGAGGCACCACAAGCTTTACTCCTTGCTGTATTTTAGCTGGATTTCCTAGGAAAATTTCTTAGCAGTAGTTCCTACCTAATACCAATTTCCTGCTCCATAGAGACCTTGCATAAAATGTAGAGAGCAGTCTCCCTCTGATCTGACCCAGAAGTTTTAGCACACTTTTAAAAATCAGTTTTTTGCTAGATAAGTTTGTTTGGTTGAGCTTATTTCAGATCCTAGACTACTACACCACTGGACTGTGTCCAATTTCTTTTCTGTGCTTCCCTGTTTTTCAGCTCCTTTCATCCTTCAGGCTGTTCATCTTCTCCTTTTTAAATCCTTCAAGCTGTTGTGTTTCTCCTAGTCCTGAAAACTTACCTGCCCTACAGTGTGGATGCACATGAGCTGGCTTTAAATTGCTTGGGCACTGCTGGACACAGCTTTGCTGCCAAAGCATCAGCCTGGGGGAAGGAGTGCCCAGCTTCTTCAGGAGGTTTTGCACCCCTGCCAAGTTCTGCCTTGTCAAGGTTAAGCTGCTGGCAGGTCTTAGGTGAGTTGAGAGCAAAGAGCAGACGCTGCCATCACTGCCATGGCATCCCTTTCCTGTGATGTTTGTGAAACGGTGGGAAGGCACACAAGAAGCTGCCATTTAAGCAAAACAGGAAAGCTGTAAAACATAAAGATAGCTTTCATTATCAGTCTCAGTTATCCTTTTACAGACTACTTAAGTTCTTCCTGGTATTCTTCTTCTTAAAGATCTAGTTCTTTGAGTAATAAGGGAAAATAGATACTACTAAATGAACTGTAGGCTATTCCTTCTTCTGAGTCTTCAGCATCTCTTCTGTCTCATGTTTGCCATATGTACATGGAAAAAGAATGTGCCCTGAGAGAACATTCGTGGACAGCCACAACAACTTGCTGCTTCCAGTATATAACAATTTTAACACAAAGATTTCAAAAGATGTGGCAGACACCGGACCTAATTTATTGAAAGTATGGCAAGTTTGGTAGTTCTAGCTTTACAATGAATGAAGCGAACTACAGCACAGTTAAAACTCAGAAAATTTGTGGCAGAATTGTTTATATTGTCCACATATTCTGCCCATATGAAATCAAACTTGATGAGTGAATTTCCTATAGTGAAACAATTTATATATCATATGCATTGCATTAAATTATTTTACTTTATTACTTTTTCATGGTTAAGAAGGATTCAGATAGATGATCTTGATCAGTGAAAGACCTAGTTCAAGGTTTGGAACAGACTAAATACACACTTGAATATGGCTGACTTGTAAAAGTGATGCACCTGAAAGATTCCCTATAGTAAAATTACTTCCAACTTGTGAATAGTTTATATCACTAAATTTGAAAGGAGACACTCTGATGCATCATATTAGGACCTGTATCTTTGTATGGACAAAACTAACAAATTTGTGCATTCACTGAGTTATAGAAAATATAAACATATATAGTGCAATAATTCTGGCTTTTCTTCATCAATTCAGAAGCTAAACTAAACCCTTGTGCTTAATTGTGTTTCCTTTTACTGCTGAGCCAAGGATACAGGAAAATTTGCAGTTAATTAAATCTTCTGGCATGGTACATGGGTCCCACAGTGGAGCATTTCAGATGAGAGGATGTGCAGACAGAAAGTGGTGCAAGTGCAGATTTTGAGCCAGCAGGACTCCCAGCAATGCTTATGCTGTTCTGGGAATTTAAGGGACTTGAAAGTAGCTGAAAGTCAAGTTCTCCTTTACCTCACCAGCACCAGTGCAAAGCAGACTTCTGATACAGGCAAAGAATGGCCCTTTTGAGAGTAACAGATTTAGTTAATTATTTGTAATTTGAACATGACTAAAAATGTACAAAAATCTGAGAGTGCCAACTTGACCTGTGCAAAGCAGCCAAGCCACTTAAAAAACTGGCATTTACAGTCTTCTACTGACTCTGATGGGAAGGCAGCTTGACTCGAGCTCTGAAAAACCTTGTTTCTACAACTACATATGTGATTTGATATGTGAGTGTGAGTTCTACTGAAATCAGCAGGATTCTGACAGGACTCAAAGCTTTTTTAAATGGGCCAAATTTAAATGTGTCTTCTGAAACTGACTGACTTTTCTGTGCCTAGGTCAAAACTAAATGTCTGATCAGTTTATGTGGAACCAAAGAAAAGTCCCTTCCCCCTCAGTAACAGACAGGCTAATTAATGGTTACAACAGTATTTTACCTTATTATGCCTTGAAATGTGACCTCCTAGAACGAAATAGCTGTGCAATTGTAGGCTAAGTTGAGTTCATGAGTAAGAGGGCATAAAACTGCTCAGCATATTGGGTGTTATGTATGTATGTCCTAGCAAACAGAATTTTGCATTAAAATCAGTTGAGTTGCATATCCGTTTCTGGGGAACAGGCGGTTTGTTTGATTTTTTTTTCAATTTTTAACTTCTGCAAATTGTTACACCAGATGGCCTGTTGAGCCAACAATAGATTATCCTGTCTCACCACAATGGGATCCCTTTCTGACTAACTTGAGTTAAAGCAGTTCGATATCAGTCCTCACCAAGCACATTCCCAACAACTTCACCTTAATTATTTCTCTCCATCTGGTCCATGGTAGTATAAACAACTTCCTGCCTCTTTGCATAGCATCGGAAATGCACATAAATAAGCAATCTAATGCTGAATACTTTTGAATACATTAAATCCCATTTGTGATGTTAGCAGATCACACACTTCCATGGGTAACTGAATACTAATTATGGCAAATAGTTGAACAATTAACTTCTTCTGTTTTTAAATTTCACTCTCTGATTTTTTAATCCCACAGAGGTCTCAGTCTGCATTCTCCCTGGCTAGTGAAGATATGGCCAGTAAAGGACAAGACCCTGCATCATCTGTGGCCGAGGCTCTTGGGAGGCAGCAAAAGGGACAGTCCAGGAAGCAGAAGGAACGCAAGCTCTCTGCTTTACCCAGCTGGAAGAGTGTAGACAGGCTAAATGAAACAAGTAAATATTTCTAGTACGAATAAGATTCTTCTTTTGGCTCTCACTCACATGTGGAATAAATACAACTTAGAGCAAGGACCTTCTCGAGGGCATTTCTGCTGATCTCTGTGCTTTCAGAGGTCACATGTAAAATGTGTATTTGATGTTGCCATGTCAAAAATTCGTTGGGCTATGTCATTGCTTAACTTACTTTAAAAAAAAAAAAAACCTTCAGAATTTTTGTCTTTGTGAAGTTGATTTTGGACTGCTACAAAATTTACGACAACTAGTTTGGATACATTTCAGGGCTTCTAAGACACAAGAGCTCAAGGGCCCTTCTTTGTCATTGACAACCTGTCCTCCAGTTGAAGGCGTTTGCAGCCCATTGTATCCTTTCCATGGCACAGGGTAACTGTTCATGAGGTTACATGGTGAGCCAGTCATTAAAATAATTCACATTTAGAATTCCTCCTTACAGCTTTATTTTCAACCCTGATGAATTCACAAATCACAAATGCAGTGCTCTGTGCAGCCCCACTCACTGGCACTTTCAGACTAGTTTGAGGAAGCTGTATGCGTAAGAACTTCACAGATCAGCAGCTTCCCTGGATCTGACCTCTGTCATCATGCATTAGGTATGGATGTAAATATGGATGATGGATGGTAAGCATCTTTCCAAGTCAGCTCCATTCCTGCCTGAATCAGCACCCTGGGATAGAATGCAATTCTCTGCTTACTTCTAGATGACAAAAAGACAGGTTGTAACTGTAGAAGATATCAACGTATATAAGTATCTGAAGGGAGGGTGTCAGAGGATGGATCCAGGCTCTGCTCAGTGGTGCCAAGTAATAGGACAAGAAACAACAGACAGAAACTGATGCACAGAAAGTTCCACCTAGATATGAGAAAGAACTTCTTCACTATGCAGGTGACCAAGCGCTGGAACAGGTTGCCCAGAGATGCTGTGGAGTCCCCTTCACTGAAGATATTCAAGAACCTGGATGCAATCCTGTGCCGTGTGCAGGTTGGTCGGACCAGCTGACCCACTGTGGTCCCTTCCAACCTAACCCTTTCTGTGCTTCTGCAGTTTTGGCTCCTGCTCTTGGGGTGGTCCCGTTTACATTGCCTCTCTTGTTCTGGCTGAAGCATTTGTGAGACCACAAGAGTGTAGCACTAGGCAACTTTCTTTCCATTGAGTTGGTTAGGTTTTACCCCTACAGCTGCACAAGAGCCTAACTCATTGCAGCAGCATTCCCTGGCTCCAAATGTTGCCATCCCGTGGCAGAATCTGTCTCAAAGGCAGTTCTTGCATCTTCTCTTGTAGAGAAGCAGCTGTAGAGCCCTTCTGACCTCTGTAGCACACTGGTTCATGAAGCTGTACGAGCAGAGAACTTCTCTTTTGTGGGATGAGTTCACTGGTGCTGTAACTCCCACAGCTGCCTCACTAGGCACTGGCAAGCAGAAGCAGTTACAATATATGTGGTTGGGTTTGGTGGCAACCAGGGACTGGGGCTGCCCATGTGTTCTATTTGTTTATCTGTAATGCCAGTTGGTAACTGGGGAGACTGAAATTTAGACAATTTCAAAACTTCTTCTCCCCATGAAAGAAATTAATATTGAAATAGTACTAAAATCTGACTTAACCAAGTATGCATTACTCTGTGAATTTCTTAACCAACCCACTGTCAGAAGTGTTTCTCTCCTGGGCATTTTAGTGGAAGGCTTATTTTCAGTAAAGCAGTTAATTTAGTGCTTAAATTTCAGCACCCACTTGAATCCCATTGCATTCAACTGTTGAGCAATTTAGTATTTAACAATTGCTTAACCACAGCAGAATGACAGATTGACACAGTTTCTTCTTGGGTGCTCTACACAGAGGATTTGTTCAGCTTCTTTCATCTAAAAACCACATTTGTGATGAAATTGTGGTGCCTACTGAGCTAATAGTAAATACCTGACTGTGCTAATATCTGTAAATATGGTCTCACCTATGCAGAAATAAGCAGCTTTGTATTATGATACAGAAAACAAGACAAATCTCAACCAAGAGTTTGGTGTGGTAACATCAATGGGCTTTTTAGGCATGTAGGCAAAAAGTAGTTGACAATTCATTTTGGTTACAGTTCATATTGGTTTAAATGGTGACTCAAGAGCCTTTATCAATAGTCTTACAATGAAACTTCTTAAATCTTTTTTTTTTCCTATTCACATGGATGAATTATAGCTTGTGCCCAAAGAATTATGTGAAAAAACATTCTTTCAAGTAAGTGACTTTGTTTTGGAAAATCAGGAAGGGAGCACTTGACATTGTAGAATAAAAATGGGATAAAGCTGAGTCAGCTTTCTGAATATAGAGGTCTCAGTTGCTTTCTACCCTGTTTGTCCTCTAAGATGTGATCAAGTACTATCCTGTCCTTTCTTCAGTTAACTGAGGTTGGTTGACTGATTCTCACATGGTGTTGTTAAATAGAATAAGGGGATATGGTTTGGGGGAGAAAAATGGTTTGTGGCTCCCCATTACATTTGAGTAATGTGGTGCAGCTGAATTCAATTCCTGTTGGAGATTTATATCCTGCAGAGCTGTTGGCTTTGTTTGAAGGAACGATGTTTTAAGGAAAATTCTTTATCTCAGGAGAACCCTATACTTAGATTAGTTAATATAGTTAGGAAAAGTAAACAAGCAGACATGTCTTATGCTTGATAGCTTGTTAGGGCTTTTTTTTTCTCCAAAATCAGGGGTTACAATAAAGAATTATTAGTTCTCCTTACACACCTGACTTCAGTTATATTCTTGCTTGGTTACTGCTACAAGAGAACTAGTATTATTTTGATTTCCTTTTAAGCAGGAGTAAGAATTGTATTTTCTCTAGTTCTCTAAATTGAGTTAAAACTTAGGAAGTGAAAACAAGCCAAAAGGATTCAAATGAGTAAGAAATGCAAAAGTTGTCATAAAACTCTCATAGCTCCTAAGTTTAATTACAATTTAATTTTTCTTTTTTTTTTTTTTTTTTTGGCGGGGGGGATGTTTTGGTGGTGGTAATGCACCTCAGTCTTTGTTTTTTAAAACAAAGCACAGCTTACTGCATACTAATGTTCTTTATGAACAGTTCCAGGGAAAAAGAAATCTTCTTTTCGTCCTAGTATTTGTAACCACCTAATACAAAATGTCTAATTATATTCTACAACAGACCCAGATATTACTGTTCCCATTTGAAAATAGTGATGTTCTGCTTACATTATGAGAAAACTAATGGTTTATATTAAGTATTTCTATAGGTTTCTGAAAATAATAAATTTGAATCCATAGGAGGAATCCTTAAGTCTGAAAAGTTCATTTAGTAGGCTGGATTACTGTGTAAATCCATGACATTATATATTTTTCAAGTGCTGCAGAAGCCAGAATCATCACACATCCGTATTTCCCATGAGGGTAATTTTCAATTTTGATTGGAAATTAAATCTAAATTTAGAAGAAATACAATTCTTGGAGTTATGAGAGTTAAAGAGCACTTTCTGTAAAACATACTCTGAAAATGTGGAAGGATACAAAAGCAGCAGTGCTTGTTTCAGACAGAATCAGCTCCTTTGGTATTTAGTCTGGGGTAAAACAACAGCAGCCATAAGCAACAGTCAAGGAGAGATTAGGACAAAGTAAGTATTTTTCATACTGCCTCTAAGTAGGCTCTGAACCTCTAGAACTGTCAATTTAATTACTGTCTCAGCTAGAAGTGTTTTTATGTATTCAGTAAATTTTAGTGGATTTCTTCTTCATGTTCATAGCCATCTCTGTTTTATCACAGATAATTTCAAGCATACAGAGCAACCTTAGACAAGAAGGTCCATAGGTCTGGTATCCATTGCATCCCACTTCTTTCTTTCATTTGTTTAGAACCATGATTTCTCTAGCTTCACTTCATGCCCTCTAGTAGTTAGGTTGGAAGAGATTCCCCCATCTCTTTTAGTTTGTATTCTCTTGGTCTTCTGTCCTCCAGATGGCACATGTCTGGTTTACTTAATCATTCCTTGAAGGGGCACCATTTCAGAACCTGGTACAACCTCTGTTGCCCTTCTCTGATTCTTTTTCCATCTTTCCTTTTCAATATGGGGGACCAGAATTGCATGCAGAATCAAAGACATTTGCAAAACTCAGGATTTATACATGCTTGTGTGCTTTTGTTCCATCAGTCTTTCGTAATCGTTCTTTTAGAAAAAAATTTTGGTCCAAGTACTCTTCCATTTTAGTCATCACCATGACTTAAAAGCAGTGTCTTCTAAGTAGTAGGTCAGCTTGGCTCTCAACATGGAAGAGTTCATGTGGCAGTAGCACTTGCATTTGTTTGTTGGTTTTGCTGAAACTTTCAGTCTGTGGCAAGTAAAATCAGCTATTTACAGTGTGATCACAGTTGTTCTTGTTTCCTTTTCATAGGTCCACCTTCTGTTTTCCAAAGCACCGATGGAAACTGGGTGGCTTTGCAGAACGTCACTCTGCCTCGTCCTCGAATGCTCGCCAAACCAAAGAGTCAGGTGTTCAAAGCTCTGGAGAGCGAGTCCAGCATTGTGTCTGCCTATGACGAGATGGGCTCAGATAGCGAGGATGACTATGACTGGAACGTGGCCTTGAACAAGCTGCGGCGGAGACCTCGACAATTGCCAGATGACTTCTATTATTCCAGTTCCCAGTATGGCACCGAGTGGGTTTATGGCAATGATCAGTACCAGGCAGTGACCTCTCCCTCCTCTGGGTTATACACCAATACTGAGACACTGTTCTCCGATTCGGAAACGTCTTCAGTAAACTCTTCCCAGGAAGCTAAAGTACCTAACAAACTTCTCTGGTTGCAAAGCAGAACTCAAAGTGATATGCCCAGAATGGAAAAGAAGCACTTCCATGGAGAACTAGATGTAAATTTTAATCCACAGGCAACTAGCTTGGAGTATTCAGACAGCAGTGAGACTGAAGGAGTCCATTATGATTTAGAAAAGAGATCAAGAAGGTGGAAGAAGAACAAAGCTATCTCTGAAGACTTATGTGAAGAAAAGAATCAGGCAAAAGCCAACAAGATGAATTTAAGTCAGGTAATTGTGTCTGAGCTTACCAAATGCATTCTCAAGAAGAGTTGGGTAAAACTAATTAAGCTACACTGGCACTATCGTGTGAATCATGAGTGGGAGGTAGAGTGTTCTTGCAAGCTTTTTCTTCCTTATGTCTCCTAAATAAGAAGAAAAAGTAGGGTGTTAGACTGGCTTTACCTTTTTCTCAAATAGGCCACTTTCATCCAATCAAAGACATTGTTAATCTTGTAAAATACAGTGCTCTTAAGAAAAAACCTTCAGGATTTGTCAACAGCTGAGAAATGTTAATTAATCCCTTGTTTTGTTGTGCTGCATTTTTGGGTTTTTTTTAACTTCTGTTTTCTTGGTATAAGAAATAACTCATATGCCTGGGAATCTGCTCTGCAGTGTCTACAAATATTCTGGTAAGGGAAAATCTAATGAGCAGCAGAAGTTCAAAAAGGGCTTTTTGTGAAATCCAGTCCAAATGATGTCTGCTTTTGATTGGTCATTTTAAGATTAGTTCTGATGTGTTAGAGTGAGTGTTTGTAAACTACTTCCATTTAAATAATTTGTCAATTCATTAAGAAACAAACAAAACTCAAACAAACAACAAAAACACCGGACTGTAATATATCAAACTTGGTAAAACTGTGCATACAGCTTGAATACAGCAAACCTTTATTTTAAATTACAGGTGTTAAATTACAAAGCCGAGAATTCTCTGTCTGGAGTTTGTCCAGATCCGTGACTGATATTAAGGGATCAACTTGTCCCCGAGAATTTTGTTAGCAGTGCAAGCACACAACCTCAGGAGAATATTGACCCCTTGTCCAGTTCCATTTCCCACATCCTACCCCTCTCAAATCCTGAAGCTGCATCATTGCTGCAGCAGAGTAATAATAAGCCTGAAGCAAGGAGCTGAGGGCTGTCTTCTCCCTGTGCCTCTGATTACGAGCAGCCTGATTCAGTCTTAAAGCTGTCTGACCAAATTTAGGATGCCTCAAACAGTTTTTCTTTTCTTATGCTACTAGCCTGTATTTCCTATAGAAAAACATCAGTACAGCTGATTGCAAGTCAATATTATGATTCTAGGATTTCATCAGGGCTTTAATGCTGGATGTCATTGATTCTGGACCCATTCCATCTGCTTTCAGGACAGAGTGTGGGTGTTCAGGGTGTTCTGTACTGACTCATTTATACTCGTGTCCTCATATATTTAAAATCAACAGTTCTCAAAGGGAAGAATGATGTAATATAATATGATCTGACAACACATCAGTGGCCATTATTGACTTCTTAGAACATCAGGCAGAATTACAAGGCTTTACAGGGACTGCACAAAGATTGTATCTTGTACGCAGACTTCTGCATTTAGCTTTCTGGCTTTGTGTATTAGTGCATGATCTCTGTGTGTCTGTGTTCATATTGTGGCTTCCTAGTTCCAATAGAAAATATGCAGAGCATGGAAGATCAAAACTCACGGAGAAGGTCCTGGAGACATTATAGAATCATCGAATCATTTAGATTGGAAACACTTTAAGTCCAGCTGTTAACCCTGCCCTGAAGGGTTGACCACTAAACGTTGTCCCTAAGTGCCACAACTACATGTCTTTTCAATACCTCCAGGAATGGTGAAGCAACCACTTCCCTGTGCAGCCTGCTCCAGTGCTGGAGAATCCTTTCTGCGAAGAAATTTTTCATAACATCCAATCTAAACCTCCCCCATGCTTATCCAGGTGAGGTCAGAAGGGCAGGGTGTCCCCAAACATCCATGATGGCCTCCTTTAGCATCTTAGTGTGTTCTTCAAAGTGCAAGCTGGTATGGAAAATTATTCTTCTTTCCCAAGTCTTTTGTGAGTTGCTTTGTCTCTTGTAACCTCTCAGTTGTGCTAAAAGATTCAGGATTCTAACCCACTCTCCCCTTCATTTTACCCTTGAGGCTAAAAGAGGCTGCTCCTGCTCTCCTGCTTCCTCAGCCTCAGTGGGGCAAGTGAGGCACACTGCCACTGTTTTCAAAGCAATGAAATCCTCACTAGGAAGTTTATGTATGGGTGAGTTTGCATGTGCTTAGTTTGTGTTTGGACATACACACACACACAGAGGTGGCTGATTTCTCAGCTGCTGCTCACATTTGTAGAACCTTTACTCCAGCTTCTGGCAAACAAGCACTGCTGGCACCAGAATGGACTGATTTCCACAATTTAGAGCAAGAATATTGCATGGTTAAACAATTCTAGGAAGCAAGTAAAATTTCCATGTGTGTACGGAACCTGATTTAATGTATGAAAATGAATTAGCCAGACATCATTTACATTGCTCAGGAAAATGAGATTAAAGGGATGTTATAGTTTCATACATTCCCCAGAATTACGTATTGATTTTGGTAAAATGATTGATTTGAGGCTGCAGCAGGGACAGCCCTGCTTATAAACAGTTCTATAAAATTATAATGTAGGTGTGTGAAGAACTGCAGACAGACTTAAGAAAGATTGGCTGCAGGGTCTTAAACCAGGCATAGCTTTTCACATGATGAGATTATGCAGAGTTTGCAGAGACCATACAGACTTCTAAACTCTTGTTGAACCAAGATACTAGACAGTGAATAACTGATTAAATGTCAATTGCAGTAAAGAAACAATTTTTCAGTATTTTACTGCGTTGGAATATAATCTTATTTTACTGCATTGTAGTAATAAGGTGATGATTTGTTGACTATTATTTGTTTTCATCAGCATTGTAGAACAGGATTTCAGTTTATCAGTCTAAAGTTGGTGTTTCATTTTTACTTTTTAAATACTGAAAGTTGCTTTCTTGTTTTCTGCTCTCCAAGTTCCTCAGTGAGATGAAAACAAGCCCTTTTTCTTCTGTGCTGTGAGTCTAGAGAGTTTTTCCAGAACATAAGTAATTATGTTCTGGAAAAACTGCAGTTTGTTCATAACTCATAACTGAATTTCAATTTAAAACCAGGTATTATTTAATCAGGATCCACTTCCTAGAGTAGGATAATGCTGTGGAATTTTTTTTAAAAATATATTTTAGACACAGCAGCAGAATGCTGACTCTGACTGAAAGATTTTTTTTGTTTGAAGTCTTCAGTGACTTAGAAGGGGAAACCTGGAACAGATACCAAGATGTGCTGTGTCTGTGGAATTTTTTACTTAATGATTAGTAAAAGAACAAGCTCCTTTACTGAGCTGTCTGTAGAGATGCCATAAACACAGTCATGAAGCAAGATATGAAAATGGTCCTGATAAAAACAAAGTCCTGCTGTAAATAATATCTGATTGCTTATGCACCACGAAAAACATATTTCTGTGGGAACTGAACTGGAAAGTGAAACCTTGCTTTTAATGATTATTTTTCAAATGGTAACTTTTTACAAAAAATGGACACTTAAGTCACCAATCATTATCTGCTTTTATTATTAATAATTGTAATAATAGTTGATACTATTTGTAATAATAATAATCATATATTGACTCTCTCTTTATGAGAGAAGGATATAACTGTTGCTTAATGTAGCTAAAGTTCTTATGTTTCTGATGCAAAGTGGAGGGGCTTAATTGCTTCAAGTGACAGAAGTGCCCTCATTATGAGTTTGCTTCATTGATCAGCAGACCCCACCTGTTAATTACAGCCCTCCTGCCCTGCACCAGGTTAGGGGTGAGCACTGTCAGACTGCCTGTTCCCAGGGGATAGCACTTGGGATGTAGTCTTTAAAAGCAGCTCCCTGAAATCACTCTGGCTCTTGATGAGAAACTGCCTGCAAACCTCACAATTTGTGTATTCTCCTAAAAATTTTAGTTTCCAATTTTTTGTTTACTATATGAAGGGAACTTTCTCTTGGGAATTTATGGTTTAACATAGATTTTGTTCTGGAGCATCTTTTTTTTTTGTATTTCATTTCCGTCCGCTCTGATTACATTGAGTTATCAGCGATTTGTGTGCAAGGATTTGGACACTATTTATGAGTAAAGGTGTATTTGTTGTTTTCATTGTCTCCTAAAATGCTTGCATAGAAACACTTGATTTTCTTTTAGTGAAACTGGGTTCATGGCTGTGTCAGTCTGCCAGGCCCTCCCAGAAGCTCAGTTTTCAGATCAAATAGTAACCCTTTATTCTTGTTTGCAGTTATTAGCATTATCTATTGCTGATAGATGCAAATGGGAATTTACACAATGACTTGTGTAATGGCACAAAAATATCATTAAACTTACCAGAAAGAGTGAAAGCATTAACAATGAAGAATAACAAAATTTAATGCAGCATCTATTCAATAATAATAGTAGTACCTTTCAATTTATTTATTTTTTTCATGCTTGCTAATGCATTTTTTAACTTGTCAATCCGTGAAAGAGGTTTAATCTCCTCACAAATAGTTTTCTACCACTGAAAAGCCCAATACACAAGTCAAGCAGCCTTCTATTAACAGACACCACAAAGTGCATCAGTTTAAGGTACCATTATCTCTGCATGAGCACAGGAATTAACAGCTCTAGCCAATATAGATAATCCAACCACTCATTTAAAAGAGGCTGGAAAACTAAAAAAGGCATTATAGACATACCTGAGCCTATCTGTAATACAGTCAGTACTCTCAAGATGAGTCCTCCCCCAAGAAACAATATGTATTCAAAACACAGATTTAGCTAATGCAGAATGAGACCCTGGGGTTGCCAAGGCATCTCATGGCTTTCACCTGTGCTGGCAGACCTAGCAAAAAGATCTTTAAGTTGCTGCCATGTATGCTATGAAGCCTGGCATTTTTTTGGGATCAAGAGAAGTTGTGATATTGCTGATGTCAATACAGATTATTTAGATTAACAAGTGGTGCTTCCCATGGGTGTATCTGTGCATTACTACTCCAATAAAGCTGCTAAGCAGTTAAAGCTAAGCAGATCTATTTAAGAAGCCCCCAGAGGACTGGTGCATGTCCTGCTGCACAGTGAAGTCTGTCAGTACAGCAGTGAGGAGGAAGTGGGGGAAAATCCACCACTCTGGACTACTGGCCTCCCTCACTGCTCCACTACATTTTATATACTTACTCATTTAAACAAGAATATCAAATTCTTGTCTTTACAAGCTTGATCTACTCAAATGTCTGCATAGAATAGGATTTTCTTCTTTTCCTTGCAGGCTTGATCTCAAGGTAAACTGTGTTCAATCTTCATTAAAAGTGCTAGAGTAAGTCTACACCCCTAGTGCAGAGATGTAATCCTAAACCAGGTTTTGGTAGATGAGAGCTGTACCAATTTTTGGACGTACCAATTAAATAAATGGAGGTAATTCAAGTAAAGAGGGGTTCCACTAGTTAGCTTTGGCTAGATACCTAGCTGTAAATAATTCAGGTTTAATGAGCTGTATCTTCACTAAACTGTAGTCTCATAAAATACAAATCTGCTGTTTAGCTGGGCTTTCTATCCTATATATCACATAAATTATGATTGCTTCTTTCCTAGGTACAAATTGATGGACTGATTGATTCAGCAACAGGTTTCAGGGCTTTTTCATAGTACTATAGTGACTTGTGAGTATTAGTCATTGGCAGATTGTTGGTTGGGGTATAATACTGATATTTGTAATGAGTTGTGGAGTGATGTGCAAGAAACATCTGAAGAAAAGTTCTCTCACAATTTGATTTCTCTCTATCATTGTTATGATAGAGATTTTTAATTTAAGAGGTGAAATACACTAGTCTTTTGCATGTATATAAGAGCATGTCCTATTATAAAACTGAAGTGAAAACACACTAGTTTGAAATCTTTTAATTTTTCCTTGAACAGCTTTTTAGCAGAAAAGGCTTTTTATTTTGCAGAAGGTGATTGTTTGGAAAAGAAGTTTCAGCATAAACCCATGGTTCCCTTTCTATTGTAGCTCTCAAATTCCTGTTGTTCCTTCAAATCCTGATTTTCTAAAAAGCCCTTCTGCATCCTGAAGGTGAACTATAAAGCAATAATTTAGTTCTGTAATTGGTTGAATTGCAAATAACTGCTGACAAAAATTGTCCAGAACACTGTGAAAGTGCTAAAAACTCCAGTATAGTTTACTGTATGAAAGATGAGACCTGACATTATGAACAAGATGTGTCAATCCATTAAAAGCAGTTTGGTGGGTAAGGTTTGTGAGGGGGTGGGCAGAGTTAACATTTCTTGGGAGAACTGGAGGTTAATTGGTTCATCCCTGAACAGTGCTGCTACAGCTGCTCCTGTTTATGTATTTCCAAATGAATGGAAGACAAAACACAGATTTTAGTCTCTCTAGCAGTGTCTGGTCTTGTCACAGTATGAGAACCTAAGGCAGATAGGAGTAATTTCCTCTCTGAGAATTGCTCCAAATCATCCTCCTAGACCTGCTGAGGTGTGCCTACCGCTCTGGTCCCAGTCTGAATTCTTCTTCTGAGTGGTTTTGCACAATTATGTTTCATTTCAAAATATCTGTCACTTTTAAACCTACCTAATACAATCTTATTTCATGGACTTGGCTGAAGCACCAAACAAGCTAAAGATTCAGAATTTTCTCTCAGCAATCAGCAGGGAGAAAGCATTTCCAAAAGGCAACAAATACTGTAGGTGGAACAAGTTGCTCTGGGAGGTGCCTCTCTCTCTCCAGGGACTGTAGTGGAAATCAGGGCAAATTGGGTCCTAATCAGACAGCACAGATCCAGAAAATGAATTGATACATACCTGGGGATTAGTTTTTAGAATAACTATGAGATAGTCTCAGAATTTGTCAGCAAGAGCTGACAAAACTGTCCCCCTTTTCACCTTATTAAATGCTGGGCAAAGATTTTGCTTTTCTTCTCTTCACCTTCCAGAGGGACTTGTGGCCTAGTCTGTAGCACCCACTGTATTTAAGTGACCCTTTAAGTGTTACCCAGCTTTAAGAATCCAAGACTCAGAACAGAAGGCGCTCCTGAAGTCTGAACTTGTTCCACGGAGGTTGGCATTTGGAAAAAATCAAATCATCTCTGTAGAGGATCTACCTATGCAAATAATCACAGGGAAAGCTGACAATCTTAAGCCACATCATGTAACAAAAGAGGAGTTTTTCAAAACTTGTTTCCAGTAGTCTTTAATAATAACATGGATAATGCTCAAGACCAAGCAGTCAGGGAATGCAAGCACAGCTTTCAACTGAAAGCTGAACACAACTGCCAGGTTACAGGTTATTTCATTCCCACACCACACTTTTATCTGCACAGTATGGGAATGAGAAATACAGGCATGTTTTATTAGTTGCACACAGATACATAGTGATTTTCATAGTTCCTTTTTAGATAACATGAAAGTAAGAATGAATATAATCCAGCAAGTGTTGGTTTGCTGGCATTCCTTTTTTATCAGAACACTTAACGTACTTTCCTTCTAGCTTCCCTGCAGAGTGACCATACCTATAGTTTGTTTTTTCTTTCTGTGCCTAAACAGGAATTGATATGGTTTTTTTCTGATGTCTTTGTAGGATTTTGATGATATATCAGAAACAGATATAAGCCATGAGGATCAGCACCATGATGTCAAGCCTGAACTTATGGAGGATGAGCTTAAATCCAGGTTATTTCAGCTTGCTGCTAAAATGAGTGACAAGGAAACATCATCTGGTGAAGAACAAGAGTCAGAACCTGGAACAGATCTGGAAAACCAGAAAGAGAGTTTGTCCTCAGAGGAAAATGGCAGAAGTATTCAGGAAGAGTTAAAGAAGGTAAGTGGTAGTTACAAAGGAATGGGAATAGTACTCTAAGAGTTAGAATCCAGAAAGAGAAAATTCAGGCCTGAAAACTGAACATAGTTGCTTAAAAAAACCTGAGGTCCTTCATATAGGTCTGAGACTGAACCTCTTGCAAACATAAGAGTTCAGTTAAGGTGTGTTTTCCTCTCTGTGAGGAACAGAAAGACTACAGTCTCAGTTCCAAGCAGGGAATTTAGCTTGTGCAACAAAACTGTTAACTGGATTATATTAATGGAATTATGTCAATTTATACTGACTAAAAGTCTTTCTGATTTTAAAAACATATCCAGTTTTTCTTTTTTTTGTTCTTGCTAACCAGACAGTTTAAGTGATTTTTTTTTTTCATCATTTTAGTTGCTCCTTTCTTTGTAGCATTATCTGGTCCATGCTGATGGCATAGATTCTTCTTTTTCCTTAAAGCTTTCCAACCCTGGTATCCTGTCAGCTAATAGGCTTCTGAGAGTAGTAACATTTTCTAAGGAAACTGATATTCAGTGTCAGTTCTGATAGTGCCTGAGATCCTCCATTTGTGCCATTTCACCCTTACAATAAGATACCATATTTCAGTGTCACTCACAGGATTTACCACCTCCTCTCTTCCCTTTCTACCTCTGAATTTCTCTTCAGATCATGTGGTCTGCTTGAATTTGGTGTGAGAGGAGCCTAGTGGTGCCCCTTGCCAGTCAAGCACTCTTATTCCATAGAACCACTTAGGCTTATTCTAGTTTGCTGCATATCTTGACATGCTTTTGGGTTATTGTGTGCACAGCAGCTCAGAGTGTGGACAGCTCTCTAAAGGAAATCTATTTGTCATAGTTCGGAAGGTGTTGTGTTCAAATTATATAAAGAACTAATACACTGGGAAGTGAAAACAGGATCAAGTAATCCAGGCAGATGATAGAGGTGCCGTCCAAGAATGCAGGAACGATGCCACAAAAGCCATTGCCCTTCTGGAGCTGAATCTGTCCAGAGACACAAAGGGGAAAAAAGTCTTCTACAGGTCCATCAGCAGCAAAAAGCAGGTGAGGGAAAGCTGGGCTCACTACTGCAGTGATCTGGTGACACAGAACATGGAAAAGGCTGTTACACAACATTGTTTTCACCTCAGTTTATGGGTAAGATTTTCCCTCAAGAATCCCAGGCCCCTGAGACCTATGGCAAAGCCTGGAGCAGTGAAGACTTACCTTTGGTAGAGGAGGTTCAGAGTAGCAAGTATTTAAAAAACTGGGATTTGCATATGTGCATGGGTCTGATGGGGATGCACTTCCAAGACCTGAGGAAGCTGGCCCATGTCATTGTGAGGTTCATCTTAGAAAGTTCATGTCAATCTGGGACATTTAGAGCTATGAATGTTGTTTATTTTGGCTTTAACAAGACTTTTATCAGTCAAATGCAAAGGGAAATGCAAGTCCTGCATGTGGGAAGTGATTAGCTTATGCACCTCTGTTCAGTATTGGTGAGACCATTTCTGGAGTGTTGTGTCCCATTTTGGGCTCCCCAGTACAAGGTACACATGGACACGCTGAAATGAGTCCTGTGAAGGGCCACAGAGATGATTAAAAAACTGAGGCATCTGTCATATGAAGAGAGGCTGAGAGAGTTTTTCTCTCTCATTGTCTATCCAAGACATCTCATTGTCTATCCAAGAAAAGAAGAGAAGGTTTGGGAGGATCTCTTCAATGTGTTTAAATACCTGATAGGGGAGAGTGGGGAGTGTTTGTTGTGGGAAATAAAGTGGAGATGGAACTCTTTCCTCTGACAGGAATGGAAGCAGTAGGCACAAACTGAAATACAAAAAAATCCCATCCAAATGAAAAGCTTTTTCACTGTGTTGGTGTTTACTGGAATAGGATTCCCAGAAAGATTGTAGAGTCTGTGTCCTTGGATATAAACAAAACCTGACAATGGCCTTGGGCATGTGCTTTGAGCAAAAGAGTTGGACTAGGTGATCCCCTTACATTCCAAATGTAAGGAGCATGTTACACTTCGAATCTGAATTATTTGGCCATGGACTACACAGGAGTGTAAATACATTTGTTATCATGTGTTCAAAAACCTTCATAATGTGCACACAACCTTTCCAAAGAAATAATGTAAAGGATTTATTGTCAAAGCTTGTTAGCATATTTAACTTATTTTTATTTGGCTTATAAAGACAAAACAGCAATATCACATTATTCAACATCATATATGGGCTAGCTGGGGTTATAACATTATGCAAATGAAATCCAGAATTAAAGACTGCAAAGACTGTCTGAAATGCTCCTGTATAGAGAACTGCATGCAGAAAATAATGAATATATGTTTTTGGTGTACTTATTCATCTGCATGCATCTACAAAGTAAGATTTTGGTTGGTTTTTTCTCTCCTAATTTTGCTATTTCTTTCAAATTTGTATGTCAATTATTTAAAATAAAGCAAAGATTAATATCTTTTTCCTCAATAAAATTTTCTTAAGTTTTAAAATAGAAGGGCTTACCATGTTCAGCAAAAAAAAGGAATGCTTGGAGTTCCTAATCCTTCATTTGATTTGGATAAAAAAGTTTTCTTCATTAGTGGTCATAGTATATACTCTTTTTGTCTGTAATAAAGAAACCAGAATGCTCCAGTACTCTTCATGGTCTGGAATTCAGTGGAATTGGCAGGGAAACCTTCTCCAGGTGTAGAGAAACAGGCACACTACTTTCATTCTTATTCTTGACAAGTCTTTCGGTTGTCCTTAAAGGTATTTTTAAATCTTCTGACATGTACCTTCTTTCTGGAAAGTTGGCTGGCCAACATCTTACAAGGAAATACTGAAGATGAGAGTGTATAATACCAGTTGGGGCTGTGGTAGTCTAAAATACAGACATACCTAAACTCATAAAAGACGCAATAGCTTTAGAATGAGTAGATGGAACACTTCAGCAACTTTAAATTGCTGGGAATTTTTAATTCTTGTACACCCCAAGACTTAAAAACATGTGTTGTTTTTGAATCACTGGAAATTAAGTACCTGGTGCTTATCTGACCTTCGCCTGTCTTCACCTTTAAAAAAAGGACTTCTGTTTTAATAGAAGCTGGGAATCTCATGTAATCACACATTGAGCTGATGCTTTTAAAAAGGTATTTAGTACATTATGATCTGAAGCAGTGGTAAAAGTGGTATCTTTCATGGAGAGTTAGCTGAAGTTGTTTGGCATTTATGGGTTCTCAGTTCTCACTTCAGATTGAGCTTTTGAGTCCTGTGTCTGCCTTTAAGATGCAAACTTGAATATGACGACCTTTGAGTTAATTACTTAATTCATCTGGGATACCTGAGGATTTAGGTTGGTATTAATTAACACAAGTTAATTTTGGGACTTAGACTTAAATCTTCATAGATTTTCAGCACCTTCATTTTCATTATCCCTCAGTTTGTGATTGCCTAAAATGGTTTTGTGGAGATTCACAGATCTCATTTTAAAACAAACATAATCCTGCAGCAGACTTTTTTTTTATTAAAATATTTTGTTCTCCTTAAGCTACAGAAGTAATTCACGGTCTTTCTGGGGTATGCAGAGCCCTGAAAAGTCCATTTGTCACTGCTGTGCAGTGAAAGGCCATGGTTTTCACCAAAAGCCATGCTTAGGGTAGAGTTGGCCTTGAGCCTCTCTAAACTTCAGGTGTGAACAAACCAAAATTCAAATTGTGCAACTGTTGTCTTAGTGAAACATCTTGTACTAGCTCAATGATTTGCAGAATTCTTTCTGTCTTGCTGCCTTTTTTTTTTTTTTTTTTTGATTGGATGGTTAGTATTTACTTTATTCTCCCAAAACCCTAAATGAATGCCTAAAGAAAATAAAACAAAATGTAAATTCCCTTTGAAGTATCTTAATGAATCCTGAGAGTGTCACGCATGATGAATGGCATGTATTTAGTTTGCAGTCTCCTCCATCCATTCTCCTTCTCTTTTAATGCTTTCATGAAGATAAATTGACTGGGTCTTTATTTCATGGTATATGCCAGAATTACATTTTAGAAGGCGATTTTGGCAGGCTGCATTTTGAATGCAGTTTATCCCTGTGACCACTTTATGAGAAACTATACAGATTATGTTAAAAAACAGATTAGCCCCTGCCATTTTTTCAACTTGCCCATATAGCATGAAAATTGAAATAGTTGTTAAAACCTTACTTTGGTTTTTTTCTTTTTTTCTACTTCTACTTAGTATTACAACTTTCTTAAGATATGCCAATGAGCAAGCGAGTTAAACTTCCAAAGTAACGTGGAGTTTCTCTCCTCCTTGCATTAGCTTGATGCAATGTGCTGTGTGCTTAAGGAATTTCTTTAAATCCCTTTATGCATTTACTTCTGCTCAAAGACTGTTACAACCAAGGCTTAGTTTGTTAAAATCCTTTGTTTAAATCCTGCTGTTCTCTGTTGACATTACTACATGACACAATAGCTCTTCCCTGAATGACAGCCTCTAAGTGAGTTTGTTAAGTAGCACAGTGGGATTCTGTTTCTAAGTGAAACCTCCCAAGTCTCTTGACACGATGAATAACAGCATAAATAATATTTTCATTAAATATTTATGCTTCCATTCTCTGGAAACATTTTATTCTTCTTAGGTTCTAAAAAGCTTTATTTTGGGGAAAGCACGAACTCATTTCCTGAGTTCATATGAAAGCATGAATAACATTTTCATGTTGATTTTTGCCAGAGGCCTATTTCCTTTGTTTCAAGAGTACATCTTGCTTTTTTCACCAGGTAAATTAGCACTGTTCGACTATTGGTATAATGAGATTGAGACTTGTTAGAAAATCTGCCTTGGCCTCTGTCTTTTTAGCAAGAAGAACAGCCATGTGGGTGCATGTTCCTGCAGAAGAGAGAGCCAGCTTCCTGGTGTGTATGCTGGCGGTGGTGCTCGGGGCTGGCCTTGGAGGGAGTGGTCAGGGCTCAGTAAGGGAAATCAGGCAAGCATGGGGCTCACTGGACTCAGTTGCTGGAGAGATCTCTGCTCACAGCCTTGATGGAGCTGGAGAATGTCATTGGACATGCACATGCCAGTGAATCTTTCCTTTGTACCACAGACCTGTTGAAGCATCATGGCAGGGATGTCTGGGATGCTGACACAGCGGTGCTGGAACATCAAGAGTGAGCCTATGTCTCTTGGTGGCTTTAGGCATTTGTGCTGGTGCAGACACTGTCCTCACAGAAGATGATGTAGTTTTTGTGATCATTATCTTGCAATTGCCTAAATTCCTCGGTATTTTAGCTGGTTTGTTGGTTCAGGAAGGGGTTTATAGGAAACTGCCATCCAACTTCATATGACTAAAAGCTTTAGAAGTCTCTGAGTAAAAGTCTCTAGAGGATAACCATGCAGATCACTTTGGCCAGAAAACACAACAGCATAAATACAGTAGCTTACTACATTACTGCTATTATGGTAGTGCTGAACATACAATGATATCTTCCTGGGCTAACAGCTTAGAAGGTAATTGTGTGTCTGTTGTTTCACATTTTTATGTGCAAGATGCTCAGATTAATTCTTGTATTTTCATGGATCATTGCTTTTGAGATTATGTTAGTTATCAGGGCAGTCTCCCAAATTCCAGCATTGAAAACTGAACATGGGCAGCATTGTAAAAAGTGATCTTTAAGGTTTATGAACTGCAGATAATCTATGCACAGGATTTTGAATGACAGCAGAGAAAAAAATTTTGGTTAGGGAAGGTGAAAAAAGGTATGAGATAATAATCTTCACATTGGGCTAATGGATCCGAAGTTTTAAGTTCTCAATTTAACAAAGCAGTCAAGTATACATTCAGCTTTAAACTGAGGTTTAAGTGGTTTGCTGGACAAAATTCCCATTCAAGGTGTTTTTCCTATGTATTTACTATTAATCAGTCTTTAGTACGAAATATCAAGCTGATCCTAAATTTATTTTGTCAAAATCTGAGTCTTCTGTTTCAAGCATCGAGACGATGAACATTTATTTTTTAAAGTTTTCAAAGCCAGCAGTGATGTTTATGTACCTCCAATTCTGACACTTTCTGGGCTCAATACATTTGGATAAATATGGATGTAGATAGACCATCTGAGATATCTTAGAGTGTCCCACAGGGCCTTAAACTGCTAGTCCAGATGAAATGTGAATCTCCCAGGTCCATGTCATATCTGACAGCGTTGTTTCAAAATCCTCACACACTTCAAGCTGTTTCAAATTGCACTTTCTCTACCTGTGTTTAAGGAACTGAATCAAAGCCTGTTGGATCTACTGGTGAAGGGCAAAAGAAGTGACACTTCAGCTGCCTTCACATGGGGAATGCAGAATCTTTGTAAACAGCTTTTTGTCTCATAGTCTCAGTTTTGACACCTGTGTGCATGCACACCCAAGCCAGCTCTTGCAGTGTGCATGCAAGGGGAATCTCCTTCAGTTCTCTCCTTGCCAAAGATTTATTTACTTAGGGAGAAAATATCCAAGCTATTCTACAGATACAGTTGCAGAAAATCAGTGAACATTAGTGTAAGCTCCTGGAACAATATGGTGGGAAAATAAACTGGTTTTTACTACTATTTTGTCTTCTTTTGTAAGCTGCATCAAGACTTGGAAGTGCAAACTGAAGTCTTTCAGATCTAGCTGGGAGAGTTTCAGGGAAATGCTACTCCTCAGCTGGAAGATACTTCTGTCACAGCACAGCCAGCAAGGCAACTGTGGTTTGGTCATTACTTCAAGGCAAAACCAGTCAGTTCAGTTTAAACAGGCCTAAGGAAATTAGGGAGTTTACTGTAAGCCTACTGACTGGTTACTGGAGACTTTTACTATGAAGGGTTTTAATTGTTTGGTTTGGGACAGTGAGGCCAGGATAGGGACAGCAGCAAACATTAGGAAGTGATTTGGCACAAGACATCTTAACTTAGCCCAGGTGTTTCTCAGATGGACATCTGACTGTGGCATAAGTGAGTACAGACTCTTCGGTAACTACTGTCTAAATTGCTGCTGTGTACACTCCAAAAGTGAAGATAGTTGGCTTTACTTCTTCTTCTTAACACTGCTGCAAAAGTATTTTTTCCATTCCTAGTGATACTTTTTGTGACAGTGGAAATAGTATTTTCTCTCTGTTTTGTTTTATGAACAATTGTGTGTGATTTCCAGTATCTGTCTCCGTGAGGTCTGTTAGTCTAAATCTCACAAATAAAATTAAATTAGGCATTGCTTTATTTTAACTATTTTAGTAATAAATGTAAAATCTAAATTTTATGCTGTTTTAATCTTGGTAGTTTCTTTATCCTTGCTGTTTATCCTAAACTTCCCTGTAAGTCTGAACCTATATAGTTAATTTCTGTGGCTGTTAATATAACTTTTCTGCCTTTTTATTTAACTGCTTTCCCACTATCTAGGAAAAACAAAAGGCTTTTGATCTTCATTTAAAGCTGCAGTTTTTATCCACTGTATTGCAGCAGGTGAGAAAGCTTTGTTTTGTTTGTGTCTTTTTACATCTCTTACGTAGTAAGAGATGCCTTAACGTGATATTGAGGGTTTCCACATTTCCCAATTAACATTCTTAAACTCAAAATGTTTTCCTGAAAATATCAGGCCTGAAAAATCATACCATTTGGTCACAATCAGTAACCATTGCAGAAAATTATTTTATAATTACAGTTAACATGTGGAGCAGACTGGCTCCCTTGTTTGGCCTTGTGATGAAAATTTGGTTTTAGTAAAGAAGAACAGAAGACAACAATAAGGTGTATGAACTTTTTATTGTCATGTACTCACCTATATTAAGAAATGTGGAAGGAAGTTTTCTCATAATAGTGGTCTTCAAAAATCTTTCTAAGCTCTCAATTTAAAAAATAATCAAAACCCTTAATTCATTGTAGAGTTTGTACAGTAAGTAGATATTTTCTCACTTTGCTGCTAGTGACTGTTGCTTATCATTTTTCTAGGTGGAAAGAGGCTTCTATATTCTGTGCTATTTGAATCTCAGCTTATGAGGATCACATATTAAAAAATATTTTCATTCTATGCCCTGAGCAAATATATGCTTATCTTATATATTGAAATACCTGCTTTTTTTAGTATGTCATACATCATTCTCTCAGTTATAAGAATCACTTTTTGTGTTCAAAATTGATTCTTAATTTAGCAAGACACTTCTCTCATTTTTTTTTCTTTTTTCCTTGCTCTTACTTTTGTCCTATGAGTTTTAATCATCTTTTAATTATCTTGTTTTTATTTAGTAAAAATATCAATGGTGACATGAAAGAAAAAGTGTTTTTCCAGTTGTGTAATGTCGTCAGTACGTGTCCATTGTATATCAGAATCCTGTGTAGATTTTAAAATGGAAATATTTTAATTTCCAACTTAGGCCTATAATATTTCACTTATTGGAAAATCAGGATTATAGACAACTTGTCTCTAGAAATAAGACATTAAATATTAATAAGCATAACATCTGTAACTATATTAGGACAGTGGATTGAATCAATAAAATGTAATATTCAGCATTACCTAGCACAGTCAAAAAGAGAAACTTTATTTCTCTGTGTTATACTTGAGACTATCAGTAGAATAATAGCTCACAGTCTGTAAGATAATTTTGCTTTCTTTTTCTAAAGGAATGCGCATAAATGAAGATATTCATTATAAAGGTCAAGGCAGGTAGTCTTAAACTTTAAGAGAAGATTAACTCCTTGATATCACAAATAATCATGATCTACTTGTCTGCCTTCAAACACCCAGGCAGAATTTAGCCTTTTTTTTCCCCACAATTTTCATGGTAATGAATGGTTAGGGCTCACTTTTGGGCCGAAGATCTTTTGAAGGTCAGGGTTGACAACTGCCACAGGTAGTTGGGCATTGATGGCTCTTTTCTTTCCACACTGTGACTTGTGTCCCAGATTTTGCTGGCCTGTGAAGGACTTTCATTGCGCTTTTCAGGGCCTTCTCAAAATTCTACTATGAACTCCCATAGGGTGGGGAGATGAGGGAGACAGGTTTGGGGTTTGATTTTGTTTTCACCCAGCTTGGATTGAGTCAGGTTACTCTGAAAGGATGAGTTAATCAGTGGCAAAGCAAAACTTATCTTCTCCCCAGCTCCCCTTAACTCCCTATAAAACCCTATAAAAAGAGGGATATTGACTGTGAGTCAGTGCATGATATAACGCCTTGACACTGGAGCTAAAAATGATTGCACCACAGGTCATCAATGATGTGATCAATACTGCCAGGACTGCCTAGTGATGGAAAGGTATTCTTGCTCTACTTCTTGATCTAGCTGTTGATGTCACTGTTCTCTGTTGAATTGCAGGTCACCCCCTCCCATGCTCTGTAAAAGAGCCTAATGATGACATCGTAGTGGCAGAAAAAAAGAAAACATTAATGGCTGAGTACAATGGGCAGAAAAACATAGTGCTAGTGATACAGAACTGTTTTGAGAGCATCAGAAATAAAAGCCATAATGTTCATGCAAAGGAAAGGATGTGAAAAATGCTACAGGCTGCTGAGATGCATACAAACACTTAAAGTTCACCTGCTCTTAGCAGTTTGGGTACTTAATATTGCTTCAGTTCTATCATCCTGTTTTCCTTCTGTTACTTGTGCAAGGATGGAAACAGTGGTCTCTAAAGCACTTTCCAGTGTAGCATGCTTGAGTTAAACAACACAGAAAATACTGTCAGCATCAACAGGGAAAGGAAAGAGAGGCAACAGAAGGAAAGGGAGGTGGCTAACAGTCAGCAAGACCACTTGATCTTTGGACCACTGAAACATAATCTTCTCAAAACAGGAATACTTTCCATCTGACAAACAGAAACGGCAGTAAAGAAGTTTTACAATATATTCCTTATATTCAGTGCAAACATGTATGTATGCTTGCATACACACACATTTTTAGCATTTCATTGGTTTTAAGACTCAACCACATAGAACTCAGAGAAATCAGGCATGTTCTTTTGACTGTGTTCTTAACATGTTGGTGACCATGGATATTAATTATCATAAAAAGATTAAATATATGTTTTATTCATTCCATTGGATGCTTAGTCTCAAATTCAGTAAAAAAAAAAAAAAGATTCTCATAACTAGTAGAAACATTCATACTTGGTCTGCTGCATGGATTTGATTTGGGAGTGGTTGTGTTAATTCAGAAGTAGGGTAGCCTGGTTGAAACCCAAATGCGTCCCAGAGGTTCAAGAAGAATGGTTGCACTTAGCTTTCCTGTGCTGGATACTTGTACCAGAGATTGCTTTCTACATCTACCACATCCATATTAGTTCTTTGACTTGCTTGACAAGACACAGCCTGTGTCATGGCATGACAGCTGTCCCTGTGAGTCACTTAGAGGTGTAAGCAATGACCTTGCCTGCAATGGCAAGATAAATTTGACAACCAAGAGGTGTTTGGAGCAATTTGAAATCCACCTACCAGGATGATCTTTATGTGTGTGTGTCTGTGAATTGCAGGTGATTGTTGTATGGTCTTATAAATCCTGAGTTTGACATGTGTGGTCAGGGAAGGGAGAGGTTTGTGAAGTACTAAAACCCTGCAACACATTTTCTTTTTTTTATTATTGCTTTTTAAATTTATTTTGGGTTTTCCCATTACACATGTTAAATAATTATATCTAGAGTACCTTACTATATTTGCAAACAGACCATTTTGGAACATGACCTGTTTTAACAGCTCTTGATAGGTGCTCAAAAGGAGGGTAAAACATATGGAAAATCATGAAATGAGCATCCAACTTTTTACAAATCACATTTCTGCACCTATGGAGGATTAGAGTGGACTTTAGGAAGCATTTTGTCGTTGTGAGGTTGCTCAAACTTGGCTTCCTAGACAGGTGGTCAGTGCCCAACCCTGCCAGTGTATAAGAGGCATTTGGACAATGTCTTTGAAGGGCATGCTTTAACTTTTGGTCAGCCCTGAACTAGTCAGGTAGCTGTACTAATTGATCATTCATAATCTTCCAGATGAAAAGTTACTGTATTCTATTCTGTTCTGTTCTGTTCTTTACTGTTGAATTTCTTTTCCCCTTTCCTTTTCCTATTAAGAAGCTAGGGTATTCTTTACTCAAAATCTTGATTTCACAAAGATATCTATCACAGACAATTTTACCTGGAAAACAGAAAAATTATTTTATAGTAATTGGTCTGTGAAAAACGCCAATATGTATTATCATGATGTGGTATAAAAATAACTTTTTTCTAATTTAATTTAATCTTTTTTTGAAATTCATAATTAACTCTAAAGGATAATAAAAAATTAATAAATAATAAAAACTAAAGTTAGGCTACAGTTCTTGAAATGGAGAACATACATCAGTGAATATGATGAAGAATATATAGTGTCTGACCTTCATCCTTTTTTGTTCACTACTTACCGAATGTAAGAACTAGGTACTTGTAGAAGTAAATAATAAAAGAAAGTAGCATTGATTTTTCTCTTCTTCCTATAAAATTATTGATCTGATTTTAACCTAATTGGCACTTATGAAAATAAATGGGAAAAAGCCAGTAGTCTATTCATGGGGTTCAAGTATTTGTTCTCTGTAAGAGAGTCCCAAGCCTGCTTGTTTGGGGCTGTGTTGGCTGTCCTAACAAGCTAAGGATTGACTGCTGTAGCATATTGTATTTGCTTTGTTCTTCTTCTCTTTAATCTCTCATTCTAATTATTTCTTGTAATTCAGATGAGTAATAGTGTTAAAGATGCCTTAATGTATTGATACACAACAACTGAGTATGCACTGCTAAAAATGTATTTTCAGTAGAAGTCTTACCTAACATAAGAATGGACGGCTGATTAAAGGAAAGAAATAATGAAAGTATGTTTCAAATTTAACCCATCAGAAATTGTGAGAATCAAAAGAACATTATTTCTTCCATATCCTACCTATAGACACTTTTAATGAGTTGTACTCTCCAGTACTGTAGAATTTACGGTATAGAATCCAAAGACTGTCCATTTCCTCAATGTTGATCTGCAGATACTTTTTGAGAAAATTTACAGACAGGTGAGCCCCTAATTCACATGCATCAGTATTTGCAGGTTTGAGGAATGAATTAAGTTTTTGTTTAAATTTTTCCACACTTTCTTTTAGGCAAAGCAACACTAAAGGTATTGCACATATATTCAGTGATAGTATTTTTATAGGCTTCAGTAATCTTTGTCTCAGTCTCCAAGCTGTATAATTTGGATATTGACCTTGATGCTTGAAGGTACATCTGGTGAATTTTTTTTTCCTTCATCAGAGGAAGGAAAGCTTCATCCTGAAGCTTAAAGCTATGTGCAAATCATAAGAATCAGGACAGTTAATCACAAATTACAAGTAAAGAACACTGATAAAAAGGTTTTCAGTTGTTTTTTGTCGGAATCTGTGGGTACTGATGATTCCGAGATTGTAGAAAGTCTCCGTCTTTCTGCCCCGTTGCCAAAGAAGAAGCCATAATTCGTCTGTGCTGGTTTCAAGGTTGTTTATTCTTGCTTATCTCTAACATGTTCTGCTGCCCTGCCACAGGTCTGTCCTGCAGGGCAGCGTGCGGGGCTCTGCCCTCAGTGGGATGTTACAAACATTATATACCAGAAATTACGTGTGCTGTATTTACAATAATGTGCCAATATCTACCATCTACGTTGAACAGTGTGTCCCCAGCCTAAACCAGTAGAAAAATGCCAACACCACAGCGAAACACGGAGGGCATGAAGAAGGAGAAAAAGGACAAGACACACCCAATTTCCTCCATCTTGTCCCCTTTGAACCCCTAATCTAGAAACCTAAAATTTTACTTTTGCACCCGTGCCACACTTAATTATTACTCATATCAAACACTCAGAGCTTGTAATTCATCCTGTAAGATTGAAAACTCTTTTCCATGGACAGAGATCACAGACAGTGTCTCTCGGGGCTCTGTACAGGGGGGCTCCCAACCCCCTGCCTGGCCCTCCAGGGCAGCCAGAGGGAAGCCCTGGATTCCCACAGTTTTTAAAAGATTGATAAAACTGCATGCTTTTCCTTGGTATCTGATATAATTTATTCCATCTTAAAAGAGGTAAATTGAAATTTAAAAAAATAAAAGGATGCAAGTGTTTGCACACTTATAGCTCAATCTTTGTTTATTTGGGGTGATCATTTAGTTCATAATGAGCATTTTAGTAAAATGCTATCCTTACAAGGCTGCTGAAGATTGCTTTTCCATGTTTGCATCCACAATGAAATGGCTCCTGTGGATACAGGCATAGATCATTGCACATCTCTTTGCCAGTATCCAAAAAGGAAAATTGTGTTTTAAAACATGTTTAAAACACTTTTGCAAAACCAGCTTTATGTAGCTCATGTAGATTTTAAAGCTGGATATTTGTGTGCTCCTTTGGGATAAGATTTGGACCATCCTTCCAGTAGAATTCTGTTGTAGAACAATTGCATGTGTATGTTATTTTGCATGCTGTAGCAGGGTGGTTAGGTGAGAAAGGGAAGGAGAAAAAGGTAAATAAATTCCAATTCCATTACCTGGTTCTTGTGTCTGTTTGCAGCAGAGAGCCATGGATATGGTTTTAGCATGGCTAAAGCTGGGGCTAGTAGAAGGTGATTTATATCTTACCCCTCTATGCTAATTTAATGCTGTTGTTTTCTCTGTCTGTTCTTGTAAAAAAATAGAAGTACTCTGCTGTCTCTCTCTGCAACATATCTACAGAAGTCCTGAAAGTCATCAACGCCACTGAAGAACTGATAGCAGAATCCACTGATCCCTGCAACTTCCCAGATGACATTCAGGACAGAGGAAGAGGAACCCTCCCACTGGGCACAGATCCTGTCAGACTTGATGAGCAGCTCACCACACTGGAAGAAAATGTAAGATGAATCAGTATGTGAAAGAGTCACATGTGTGAGTGAGTGCACCTGTTTGTTTGCACCAGCTCAAAAGGGAAAGAACATAGGCAGCATCAGTGGATGTTCAAAATTAATTTGGGGTTTTTAAACAAATACATGAATAGAAAAAAGAAACTGCATTTCAACAGTGCTTAACTGTGTCAGTAAGGGGGAGTTTTATGTACTTTAAATATAGAGGGGAGGAGGAATTGGATGTTTTGGGGTTTACAACTAAGTTTAGAAGCTCTATCTCAAAAACTCATTAATGGCCTCCACACCTCTATGGCAGTGTGGCTATGCCACACCTGGCTGAAACCACACATCTCCTAGTCTCAGCACAGCCTCATCATTCCAAGGACAGGTGGAAAAAGCATGTTCCCAGTCACACAGAGAAGTGGAGAAGCTCTTCCTCCCCTCAACATCTCCAGCACACTGTGCTTAGCACCGAGGGATCTCGAGCTGCCTCCTGCACTGTTAGAAAGAGAAGGCTGGAGAATCTGAATTAAATAAACATTTGTTTGGAAACATCCAAATCATCCATCCTTTTTCATTAATACCTGTCATACACAGGGGAAGGTACAATGCTGAATCATACAATGAAGTCACTACTCATTGGAAATTTTTGTGAATCCAATTAATTGAGTTGGTACACTTTTAACTTTCTCTTTTTTCCCACATTTAAGTAATTACATTTCAGTGTCCTTTCCCTTCATTAGGAGCCCTTGAAGATCTCATAGGAATCTGCACTGTACCATTATATCATCCTGATCAGTTCAAGAAGACAAATCCTGGTTTTCTTTAGCCCCAGAAAATTTTCAGACAGAATCTCCTCTTGGAGGATAAAATCAGTTTCCTCTGCAGAAACATATTTCCACAGCAGCCCCAGTCTAAGAACTAGGTGGAAGATACTCTGTGGCACTAAAAGCCACTCCTGGCACTGGACTCTCTCTCATTAAATAGTAAAGTGTCCTAAAGGTCCAAACACCACAGAATTCATCTGGTAGAGGAGAGAATATAGAATAAAAATCCAAGTGCATGCTGGACCACATCTTCAGAAGAACTCAGAAATTCTGGAGGACAAAGAGCAACTTGGGGAAATCTGGTCCCACCTGTTTTTTCTGTGGAGAACTGTGTTGTAAATTATCTAAGGTGCATGGTTTTTTTTCCCAACTGCACTTTGATAATCCCTCCCAGCAATGTGGAGCTTTGGCATCTGTGGTGCTGTGGCCTCTAATCATTTATTTGGGCTAAGCATTTCTCACTGAGCAGACGCTGGGCACAGAGGCAGAGCATTTCTTGCTTTGGCTTTGCCCTTGCTGCAGCACTTCTGGTCTAGCTTCTCCAGTTCTCTGCAGAATTCACAAGGTATCCAGCACAGCCTTGCTGTGTCCCCACAGAACATCTTTCTCTGTCCCACATAGGACATGAAGTAGATGGCAAAAACTTCACAGTTTGAAGATTTCACCATTACACTCCATGGGAAAGTGCCTTTAGAAATGCAGGAAACCATAACTTTTCCCGTTGCAGCTGGGGCCATATCTACATGAACCACATCCTCTTTACAGCAACTTCTACAAGAGGATCTGAGTGTTTATAAACACTTTGTTCATTTTTGCTCTCTCTAGCCTTTTAAGGACTGTGCGTGCAACAGTGTGAAGAATGTAGGGCCATCTGTACCAGCAAAAGGTTGGGGTTTTGTGGAAGTTGTGCATACCTAAATGACAGTAAAATAAGTCTTCACAATCTAAATATGAATAAATGAATAATGGAATCATTTAGGGAAGACCTGCAAGGACACCATTGCTGTTTGGAAGTGTTACAATTGTCCAGGTAAATGGAACATTCTTTAGAAAAATATTTTCTTTAGCTCCAGCTGGAAAATGTTCATTAACATTTCACAAATGTAGGGACTGATTGAGTTACAGGAACACTAATGACAAAAATGGCATTTTTCTATCAGTCCCATTTTCTTTGGAATTTTTCCCCCTCTTGAAAAGGACATCTTACTCTGCAGAGATTTTTGCCACAGCACTTATAATGCATCTTTTCTTTAACTTTCTAAATATGCTGCTGTTCAAAATGTTCTATTTCTTCTTTCTCTAAGCTTTTAGATGTCACAGGGAAATCTAAAAAAAAAATGCCTTTTTATCTAAACTGTCTGTGGTACGTCATACTTAAAAGATGTATCATTTAAATGAGCAGTAAGAATAATTAAACCCCACAAAACCAGGAGCGTTTCTATTTAAATCATCACATTAACTTTAGGGACCCCCTGTGTCCCCAGGTACTTCAGCAAAAATTTTACATCAGATCACTTATTTCTTTCAGATATGTGTTTCAAAGATTTCATGCCTGCAGTTAGGAAATGTTCTTATAAGATGCAATTTGTACAGATGTAATGATTTTGTTTCTATCAAACTCACATGCATGGAAAAAGCATCTACAACTAACACAAAGAAAAAAGAAAACTATTTCAAGCAATTAAGAAACAATAATGAAATAGAAAAGGAATAAAAAGTAAATAAATTTAAATCTGGTCATTCTCCACCATTTTGATTCATAAAGTCACAGCATTGCCATAAATTATTTTAATATCTCTTACATCAAAGGACTGAATGATCCAGGAATTGTTAGCAGATACAGCAGGAGTAGAAGACACATGAAATGAAGGAATTGGCTCAAGGATCTTCTTCAGATCCTGTCTGCTTGCCCTTTGAACCCTGAAGTCAGCCACAGCCATGTTTAATTCATGCTAGGTTTGTAATAACATAGTCTTTACTGCTATTGCAATGGGGGAAATCAGAATATATATTTCATTTCCACTGTGCTGTTACCAGCCTCATGGAAACAAGTTTCTTAGCTAAGGAGTAAATGGGCAGAAAGTGCAGTATTTTCATGTGGTTCTGCACAGATCTCAAAAGTTTGAATGCTTGAAATTTACCCTCTTGTATAAACCAGTGACCTCCATGTACCTTAGGGGATTTGTGAAATAAAAGAAACAAGGGGATACAGTGTATCACTAATTACTGCTCTGAAGGCCTGAATGTTTAGCTGTAGTTATAGATACCAGAGGTGGGGGAAAATAGTAAGAGTTGTTTATTTTTAGGGAAGAACTCTGAATTATAAAGTCTCTAAATTATAAATTCTCTCTTATTTGGCCCACATAAACCTATTGATCCTCCACAGATTCACTCAAAGGCCCAGCAGGTATGAAGGTTTTGCCTGCTGTATATTTGGGTGAGAGCAGGATGGACTGGAAAATCGTTACACATATAAGCACATTTACTCCATAGGAAGTTAATAACTATTTGCTGCTGAACTGTTATTCATGCAGTTTTTATTGCCAGAAAGCATCAAATGGGTTTAAAGAATGTCCTAGTTTAGGACAAATTTGGGAGAAAACCTCCGGAAGGAGCCCCCAGAAAGCAAACCTCCATGGTCCCTGCCCTCCCACCTGGTTTGGGAAGAATTTCCTTGGAGAGAAGTGGGAAAAAAACGTGTTTATTTAACAAGCAAAACACTCCCCAGCACCAAAAAATGAACAACACCAGATGAAAAAAACTCTTTCACCCCTCTGAAGAGATGAACAAATCGAGAAAGTCTCTCCTGGGAGTGGTCGCCCGGGTCTGGATGCTGGGGATTGCTCTGGGCACTGGGGCTGGCTGCTGCAGATCACAAAGCGCAGGCTCTCAGTGTTTCTTGGTGTTTCCCAGGTCCCAATCTGGAGCAGGTTGGATGCTATTCAGGAAAGGGAAAGGCAAAAAACAGTCCAGGGAAAAAATTGGACTTCCTAGCTAACTAATAAGCAAAAGCAAAGGCAAAAGCAGGAGCAAGAGCAAGCAAGCCAGCAAGCAAGCCCTAGCCTCTCCTAGACAACAGACCATGTGGGGAGGTGAGCAGGTTGATAACAAGACAAAACAAACCTTCACTTTCAGAGTCAGTCCTGAAAGCACAGAACATATATCAAGCATAAACAGAATACACGATTGGGTATACAAGCACCATAACATCACCCTAGGACAAAGAAACACGGCTTTATATGAGGTGTGATCTACAGACTTCCCTTTGTAGACTTAGGGTGTTATGCGATGGAATATCAATAATAAAAAAGAAAACTTTTTAACTTTTTTCTTTGCTGATCAATCTGGAACAAATCTGGTTTGGAATACAATTGTAGCACCAATGGAATCTGTAATGCAGCCGCCTCGTTCATCCCTTCTCTTTGTGGATGTGTGTTTTTCAGATTATTTCCCCATGACTTTCCTCTGCCAGGTAAATCTCCCTGTAGTGGGCTAGCAAGCAGAGAAGCTTGCAGGTATAATGAAAAATGCAATCTGCTTAAACCTGCATGCCCACAAACCAGGAATCACTGACACCTGTCCCCACCTTGGCCCTGCAGGTGTACCTGACAGCCAGCACGGTGTATGGGCTGGAGGGGCAGCTGACCAACCTGGAAGATGCCGCACGCAAGATCAACAGTGTTACTGAGGAATCTGAGCTGGCTGATCTGGAGGACCAGGTGGCCACAGCAGCTGCCCAGGTTCATCATGCAGAGCTTCAGGTGAGGACAGCAGCTCCTCTCCATCTGCAGGTTTCACACTGCCTTGCCTAACACCCTCCTCACCCTACACACTTTGAATATTCTTTTGTACTGTCATAGTCTGATGATCCAAGGATGCTGACTGTATCACAAGCTGAGCAGAGCATAACTGAGCTGTGTAACTTAGCCCAGCCAGATGTACTGTATCTCTTTGTTTCTTCCCTCAGCTTGGTTTTGGACATGGTGCATTCTGTGTCATGAGCATGGCCCTGGTCAGACAGCAGGAAGAGTCTGAGGCAGTTTATCCAATCAGCAGCTTGTCAAGCACTTTCCAAAAGATGCCACTGCTGGCAGCTTTCTACCAGCAAAGGCCAACAGCAGCCAGAGGCTGAGCCAAGGACAGAGCCTAGGGCTTGCATGCCTGCTGTGGGATTTAGGTGCTAAGCAGCACACATCCCAGCCAAAGGCAAGAACTCTTGTGCATGGTGATCTAGCACCACTCTAGCAGGCTCCAGAAAGGCTGGGGCTCAAAACACATTGTAATCTGGTGCTAAAAGCTGAACAAGATATGCTGCCAGACCTCAAAGGGTTGACACTGCTTGCAGCCCACTGCCCAGTCTGTACCCAGCAAGATGCCCTGACCTGACTCTGTCAGGGTTTAATGGGAAGTACCTGGTGATTTTACGCAGTAGAAGCATGCTCAACTCAGGACTGAGCAAAGATCTGAGAGCCTGGCATGTTTCTGATGTCAGAAGTGCACTGCTGTACTGCTTGGTAAACTGGCAGTTTTGTTTTGTTGGCTTTGGTCATTATTTTAGAGTAAATCTGTTAATGGGGGTGAGAGGGAGGAGGAAAGAGGCCTTAACTATGCAAGGAGGCCAATGGAAGATCTGCAGAGTGAAGCCAGCTGTGGCTTCAAGTGTCATTGTGCATCAGCTGTTGGGTTATATGTCTGACTTCTCTGACTCTTCTTTCTCTTTTGTCAATACTTGTCTCCACTACTCTCAATATCAGACTACTTTTCCCTGGCAATTTGTTTTCCATTCAGTCTTTTTATATAGTGTATGCCTGCATTTATGCATGCTTGTGTTTAATATGCATATACATTTGAACTATAAATATTTAAGATCAAATGTTTTGATTTTGTAACAGAGGATGTACTTTGCACATGTATGAAATTAATTTTGAGTTAGGAAATGTGTCCCACAAATGAAGCCCATTAAAACACAGCTTGAATTAATTTGGGATTATACAGCAAAAGGTAATCAGGAGAGAGCAGATGCAGGTTTTCTCTCCTCCTTACTTTTTTTCCTCAAAAGGAGTAAAATGTCTCTTCCTTGGAGTCACAAGGTAGGTTGGATTGTTCTTTTACTCAATCTTTACTAACAAATTAAGCCCCTTTAAATGTCAGGACTAAAGAATGCAGGAAGGTGTCAGAATTGCTGAAGAAGTTAGCCATCTGTTTATATTTTCTTATTAAAGTGGATTTTACTGGGGGAGGGTTATATTTCAGTAGTGGCATCCACAGTAATTTTAAAACTTCTTTTCCCCCCTCCCCATCTGTCTGTCTCTCTCTTTTATTTTCTTTGAAGATTTCAGATATTGAGAGCAGAATATCAGCTCTCACTGTTGCAGGCTTGAACGTGGCTCCCTGTGTTCGCCTGACAAGGAAACGGGATCAAAAGCAAACAAACCAGGTGCCAGAACATTATGTAGTATTCAAAAAATACATTGGGGAAATCTTGCCTCTTTCTCTATAATGGAATTGAGTAATGCATGTATGTTGTTTACAGATGCATACAATAGACACATCAAGACAGCAGAGGAGAAAACTTCCAGCTCCACCAATAAAAGGTGCGCCTAAAGTATTATGTTAATGAGAGAGACTCTCTTTGTAAGATTCAATATAATGTACAGGTCAGCAAAGTAGGGAAAAGTTTAAGTTATGAAATGAACGGAGAAAGCCTAATAGACTGTCCCATCCTCCTCATTTTCCATGTACTTGCATTATATAAAATAGCCCTTTGTCACATTTAAAAGCATCACCCCTTTCTCTTCAGTGAAAGTTGTGACAGTGACAAGTAAACAAGAGCAGAGGCAGAAGGCTGGAAAAAGCAAATGAGGAATGCTGAATACTTGCCCTGCAAGAGGGGTGCTGCTGCAGCATGGCTGGGCACCACACAGTGTGGCTGCCACCCTCCATAACCCACCACTTCCTTAAAGTCTGTATTTGCTGATTTCAGTCTGTATGAAATGGCTCAGCAATATTCCTGGTATGTCAGAGAATGGCTGTGAAATGTCTTTATAAAATCAAATGGGTTTTGTTCTTTCATGGTTTTTTTTGGTTTTTTTGTGGATCTTGATTGGTTTTTTTTTAACTCTGCAGTGCATTGTCTCTGAGAATTCTAGGGTTTTGTTCACTGCACTATTCTTTTGTTATTCCACTGATTGATGTGGCCTCAAACTTTAATTTATCTGGAGTACCACAGCCTGCTGTTTTTAAGTTAAATTAAATCCAACTTTTCTGATACATCTTAGGGGAAGTTTTATCTCTCTAGAAGCTGTGACTCTTCAGAAGTATTTTTATATCTGCTTCAATCTCTTATGTGAAAAATCTCCCCTTTTGTATTTTTCCCAGGTGAAAAAATAGATGGCTCTCCAGTTACCACTGTCAGAACGTTTAACAGAAACTTCATGCTCCAAGGATCTCTAACACAAAGAACTAAAGAAAGGAAAAGCACTGCCAAGGACTTAATGGTAAACAAATGTTTTTAAAACTTTGTTAAGGTCAGTCAAATAGAGAGATAGCAGTATCTTTGTAGGCAGCTGTATTTCAGTATCTTTCAGAAATCTTATCTTGATAGTTTGAGGAAAAAAATAGAGACTGCTGAGGGAACTCTTGAACAAATATGACCAGTGTCGTGGAAGATGTCTGACTATATACTATAGAATAGCAGCTCCTGAATGTCAGCTTGTGATAATGTAGCCTGGCTGCCAGGTCTCCAGGGACGTGCTACCCATATTTTTAAAATAATAAATAAATTAGTTATGCCCTGAATTTCAGACTTCTGAACCAGACCCTCACAGAACTAGCTGTGTATTGTAACTTGGCAGGTGAGAGTCACCTTGAATTTCAGTAATTGTTGAGAAATGTTAAAAGGTTATCTAAGTGGAATTTAAGGGATAGACAGATCACACATTGGCTCTGCAGGGCTTGAACAAAGAGGCTTCCCTCAGGACACCCAGGACAGCTGTCAGTCCTTTCTTCTACAGCAGCCATAGAGGGATAAAGGAAAAAGCTGACTGTCCCAAAGCAGTCTGCCACAGGACATGTGGGAAATACATGAGGAAGTGAGAAAGAAAAGGACATGGCTGTGTTCTTCAGCAGATTTGTTTAGTTCTTCACTCATGTTTTTTTCTTTCCTGTCCCTCTCTGCTCTAGGAACCTGCTATAGGATCTGCTGTGATGTACTAAACTTACTCTTCCCTACTGCCAATAACACACTGCCTAAGGCTGTACACTAGAGTGCCTTTTCTTAACAGCCATTGTGTATGTCCAGCTGAAAATGGACCCTCAAGAACCCACAGAGCCTCACTTATAGGGCTTCATTTGGATACCTCACAGAGAAAGCTGTCCAAGTCTTCAGCATTGTGGTCCGCTACAGGAAACTCTGCCTTAAAGTTCTCAGAGGACTCTAGACAGGATGCTGTGTTTCAAAAGCAAGGCTCCACATTTTAAGATGCACTTTTTCTCCCTATCAATTGTACTAAAGTATGTAGTCTTTAAAATGCAGTATGTTTTTGTACACTCAATCAGTTATAATTATAGGCCAATTAATCTGCCAAAGCAGACCTGTGATCCATATCTGCTGGCCTCTTACTATTCATGTGGGCATCTGTCTTGTCGAGCAATAAGAACAACTTTATGCAGTGTGTGCTGCTTTTCAGCTGCTTGGAGGGAGAAGAGAATTTGTGTACCTCGCTCTGCTCCCAGGGAGTCAGTGGAAGCCTTGGGAGGGTTGGTAGCAGGAAGAAGACTTCTCTATTCCCTGAGAGTGCATCTCGCAGATTGAATGTTCCAGCTCCAGAGCTAGGGATATTGCTCTAGGCAGCTGGGGTGTCATGCTGAACCAGAAACTGGTGGCCACACACGTGGACTAGATGTCACCCGAGTTGCAGTCCCAGTGTCTGGAAACATCTGAACGCTGTTAAAGAAACCAACACCTTCATATGTCTTGTTCTAGGCAGCACTGTCCACTTGGTGGGGGCCGACCATGCTGTAGTTCAGAATAAATTGTGTCCAGACCTTTAAGATTGGAAAAAGGAGGTGAAAGTGTTGGGGATGAGGTCTCTGCTGACTGACTAGTGGTTGTGGGGTGGCTGCAGCTTGCAAGAGATTCCTTTCTGGCATTCACTAGTGTTTCTGAGAAGGAGGCAAATGTAGCCCAGACATCCCTTCCTATACTAGTCTGGAGCCACCAGAGAGTAGCTGGGGCCTGTTGCTGGTGCCACATGCACCCCACTACTACTGGACCACTCTGAATTGGATTGTGAATAGTAATATTCTTTCTTTCATTTCTTGAGACCCTTAACAGGTGAGTCAAACTAGAAGGCCCTTTGGCAGATGCCCAGAAGGGAGGATGCTGCTTACAGGGTGTCCCTCGCACCCTTTTGTGGGAGAACATTGCCAATTTGTGGGTTTTTTTGCTCTGAAGAATACAAAGAAGGTAGTCAGAGGAGGTGATAAGCCAATGAATCCCTTACCTTCCACACCACTTGCAGAGCAGGTACCCAAGTGCAGATGGGGTTGATGTGAAATGTGCTATGAAGGAAGGCATGGGCTGGCAAGTTCTCCTCAGCATTAAGGAGTGGTGAACTCTCCCAAGAGCTGTGGGTACCAGGAAGGAGGAGAGTTCCTTCATTCCCTGGGCTCCCAGTGAACACCCATGAGCAGAGTGCCACATGTTACCTGCCATGCAGCAGGAAAGCAGTTCCCTGGGACACCAGGCCATGAAATGTCTGTGGCTGGGCAAATAAACAAATTTCCTGACTGCACTGGATTTAGGGGGGCAAGTCGGAGAGACAGGGAATGACTGGATGGGTTAATTGGAAAGACAGTGCCAGTTGCAAATCTGCCATCTACATTTGACATCTAGCTTGTCAGTACTCTGATGTTTAGCTGCATGTGAGGAATCCTTGGAATAAATACAATCACCTTCCCACTTACAATACCTAAGTGTGACTCCATTCCTTCAAGGAATTTTCATCTGCCCAAGATCGGACCCAATGTCTTCATTCTGGGTGAAATTAGGCCTTCTTTTACTCTCACACAATACTAGTTCTCTGAAATTGGTTTGCACAGATGGGAGGGATAAATTTGGCCCACTCTGTTTAATATATAAATATATATATAAAACAAATAGATTTTATTTATATATGCAATCCAGTAAAGGAAATTAAACAGAGTAGGATGCCTAGTAATTTTTTTATTTTTCAGTCTCCTCCTCCATTGACTGTTCTTGTGTATGTGTACAATACATTCCCAGGTTCTGGTTTATGCAGATATGCGTGTTATGAAATGTCATTAATGGTGGTTGGTCTGCATATTCGTCTAATAAATAATAACTAATATTGTGTGTGTAATATCAATACAGAAATTACTAATTTCAATAGAATTACTCTGGCTTTTGTTCTGTTAGTGTGATTTAAACAAGCCAACAAAGTTTGGAGTAGGTTGTTTTCCTTAAGAGGCATGAAAAGCAACTATTATCGTGTTACAATGTTAAAATATTCAGTCTTCTTTGACAGACAAATGTGTACTGTGTAGGCATTGCAAAAAAAAAAAAAAAAAACCCTTAAAAAAAATCCCACCTGCTCTAAGCATTTGAATTTTTACAAATGTTTATCGTGCCAAATACGTGCAAAGATATAATTTACCGTTTAAAAAAAAATCATAAAAGCATATGTTACAGCACACAAAGAATTATTTTGTCATCAGGTGATTTCAATCTTTAGTGTTAATATTTATATTTAGATTAATTTTTATAAATGAAAATATTTTAATGGGTAAAATGAAGACTATATGACCTATTTGATTAAGTCTGAGTGAATATTAAGCTTGCCTTGTTGTTATCTGCATACTCACCAAGAATTATTGTCAAGAGAAATTATAAAAGAGTAAAAGCGATATATGAAAATAATGCCTTTTCAACTACTTGATTCATAAAGAAAACAAAAAATTTCTTCTCTGTTGTTTGGATTTATGTGCACTTTGGCCCGGAAGTGTGCAGAACCCACAGCTGCACGCATGACACCATCACACCCGGACACGGGCATCTCCACAGGGGTGCCAGGGTTTGCCGAGAGCAAGGGCACACGCTTGGTTCACACCTCCTCCTCCTCTAGGGTGGGGTGGGAGGAATACTGTTAGGAACATTTGCTGGTGAGTCTTCTCCAAACCATCGAGTCTGTTGGCTGAAATACCATCTCAAGCACAGTTTCTCAGGTGGAATTTCTTGATCTCTCTCTGGGATTGCTGCAAAAACTGAGCAAGAAACTTGCTGATAATCTTGGTCTTGCACTTCCAAAGTTCCTTGCAATGGATGTGGATCAAAATATTTATCAGCATGTCTTCTCCACCATGAAAGCATTAAGTAGAATTAGTGTGTTTTAAATAACACTTTGGGTCAGCGGCTTTGTTATATTATAAATGGAAGTAACTCCCTTATTATAATAAAAACCCATCCCTTCCTGACAGGCCATTTGCAAAAAGAGAAAGAAGGGTTAAAATGTCTGCAATGGTTGATTCAACCATTATTCAGTTTTAGTAGTAATTCTCACAAAACACAACTAGAAGTGGAAGTCCATTCAAATTTATCCTTTGCAGAATGATTCGTGGCCTGGATTTAACCACTGGTTATTACCTAAATTGTAAACTTATCTTTTTTGGATATAAGCCATAGATAAAACTGTATTATTCCAGCTAATAGTTATTAATTAAGATCAAACACATTGTAAGTAACACTTCTTATAAAAGTAATATAACTAACATTGTAAGTAACACTTCTTATAAAAGTAATATAACTAAGTTACATTAATATGAGTAAATAGGGGTATTGACCTGCATCTCCAGCCTTATTGATTTGGACTAATGGAGTAGATAGTACATGGCTTGTGATCCTCAAAGACTGACTTTAGCTTGCTCAGACGATGTACTTGGAAATAATGACATTGTTTTAAAGGGAATCAGCTCATTCAAGCCCTTGCTCCTTTTGGATTATGGTTTATGATTATATGCAGTAGGCACAAAGCTACTCCAAGGAGTTCAATTAGCCAATTTTAATTTTTTTCTTGAGCAGGGAGAAAATACTTATCTTCAATAGGAGCTCCTCTGTTCATTAATATATCTCCCCAGCAGTACAGGAAGAAGAGCTGGTGGGTACTTCAAGGATATATTCTTAAAAGTGGATGTTAACAATCTCTATAAAAGCTATATACAGAGAACCAGCTTTTCATGCCATTAATGCAGGTACATTAAAAATTGGTAAGAGCCTTTTTTCTTTCTTCCAACTATTGCTTTTTATTTTTATATATTAAGAGCCATTGACTTTGAAATGTGACAGGAAGGTTTCATGATACATTTAACACTGCTGAGTTTAAATCCCAGCCCAAAACCTGTGTGGGTTTTGGATAAACCTAACGGTGAACCTAGCAGTGAACAGGATCAAGAGATTGATGGGGATACACAATAAAGAAACATTTTTATAAGCAGTGGTGGCACTCAGTGCTGGTGTCCATGCATTGTCTTTTACCTGCACCCTGAACCTGTTTCTTTTTGAAGGTACTTGCACAAGGAGCAGAAAGAAGAGCAGCGTGGAATTGCTAGGCAAAAGCAAAACTGTAGGTCTGAGGTGCAGGGGAGGACACAATTCAAAGAACAGAGGTTGGGTCACCACCTTGGAGAACAGAGATCACCAGTCACTGTCGTCTGTGTCCAATGATTTTTGCTCCCACAAAGCATTCAAGATGAAATCCAGGTGTCTGCTCACAGGCCTCAGGCTGCCATGGCTGCTTCTCAGCTGCCTCTTCCCAAAGCGACCAATGGGGCGAACACCGCGGCCCACATACCAAAAAGGGTCGATCTCAGGACCTGGAATTCAAAGCATTCAGTGAGGATGTACCACTGCACTTAGAGGCAGTGTTTTCTGACCATCTTGAAGATGTTAAACAGCTTACTTGGAGCCAAGGAGAAAAAAAAGAAGGGAAAGGCCGCAGCCAGACACACAGCTTACTGGTGCCTTTGAGAGTTACTTTCCATGTGTAGAGCCCATGGAAGAGGATTCAGTTGCAAAATTAATTTTATCCATCTGGACTGCAACCTGCATTTCTAACATGGGCCAAAGGGCCCATCCAAATTTTCTGCAGTAGGTAGCAGGTGCACTATTTCTACATGCTAACAAATCCACTGGATTGCAGAGGGGCCTCCTACATGAGGGGTAAACATGAAAAGTTAATTCCTGTTCACTTAGGAAGTTGTTTTCATGGATGACTATTTTTTTTTTTCTTTTAAAGCTCTGACACATAACTGATTTTTGTGGTCTAGTGCAGTTTTGGGGCAGGTCTGCAAAGGTTTATAGTTCTATTAAAGATTATATTAAAAAGAGAATTTAAAAAGTATCAAAAACTGTATATTAAAAGATACAGAAGCAGGGAAATTCTAAAACATGCTGGAGATTATGCCACCTTAAGGAAATCCCAAATCATTCCAGAGACAGACAACCATCTGGAATAGGAATAAATTACAATTTTAGGTGCATTATATATCATCCCCATCACATGACAGTCTCAGTCAAGGCAGGAGGAATCTTCCCCTGTGCATTTTGATGTTTGAACAGAGGAAAAAATTCACCTTGCCTTTAAATTTATTTGTAAATACATCTTTTAAGTCTTTCAGCACAATGTTTAACAGCCTTCCTACTCAACAAAACTCTGTGTACCTAAAACCTGAGGTTCCCAAAATCTATTCTCTTTAATGGGGAGAGGTGTGGCACTGAGCCCACACAACTTACTCTCCACAACCCCTTTCCCATTCCACCTACCATTATCAGCCTATGCTCCTTGGGGGAAGATGGGATTTCTTGGTGATTTTCTCGAAGATCTTTTGGATTGTGTGCTAGTTTAAACTTTGGATACATGGTATCACCCCTAACCTGGATACTCTCAGTACTTCACAGCATCTCTGAATTGAGATACTTCAGCCACTTGTATTTGGACTTTCAGACAATTCACAGCCGCAGACAGAATTGAAGATGTCTGTAAAGTGAACTAAAGCTTCTGGGCCATTGCTTTCTTTTTATTATATAGAAGTAATTGTGTATGTCTACAGAACACAGCTGAAAATCTGGTGCTTAAATATTTGATGTATACCACTTTGCATTTTCTTGTCCATCCTTTGCACATTAGTGTCTTCTCTGATATTCATCAAAAATAATGCTATTTGCCTTGACCAATTAAGGCCTGTGAGAAGGACATGAGGTTCTGCATACACACTGACAAGTGCAAATGGAAGCACAGGGCTTCACAGCAAGGTGACACCACGGAACCACCTGCATGATTTGCTGTTGAACTTTGCCTGACAGCCCAGCCCTGATCCCTCAGTGCAGCTGAGACTGTGGGGTCACCATGTCCGGTGAGACTCATACTTACTTCTGTTGTCTATCTGATGTTTAAATGGCCTGCTCTGTCCCGAAGCAAAGCTGAGCGACACCAAGAGCATCAGGACATAGACAGTGACTAGCTTTAAGTGGTTTGGTGACCACTGAGCACGTGGTGTCCAGGAGATTAGATGCCACATGATGGAGCAGTGGTGGGAAGGCTGTAAAGGAGAAAAGTGAACATGGGGAATACATGAGTTAAAGCTCTCAAGGTGAAGGAATGTGTCAACTTTAAGAATAGGTTCCCATCCGTCAGAGCCATTTCATGGCTCTAAGTTCTGTAGAACACTCATGCTGGAGATGTTGTGGCCATTTCTGTTTGAAGGCAAAGGCTATGAAGTGGGCCATTTACTGATGTAAAAACTGGAGAGTTTTTCTCTCCAGCAGTGAAAGCCTTCACAGGACACTTGAGTCCTGGCCCTGAGTTCACTGCTGATTCTGTATGGCTCTCTGTATGACCACAGGCTTTTCCTTGCTTATAAAATGTGTCTAACATTTGTGTTCTACACACTCTTTCTACAACTAAATGCATTTCAGTATGAATGCCAGTGCTCCTCTTGTGCCATTACACCCTTTTCTGCCAGCATGCAAAATTACAATTTCCAGATACAGTTTCCTCTGGTAGATGTCCCAGTCCTGTAAATGCACCCAGATGCAACAGAATGAGAAATCCCTCCTAGCTTCCGTAGGATAGGCTCAGCAGAACAGAAGGTGCTGAGCTGGGAAGGTTGCATCCAGGAAGGGGAGGGAGCCAGACTCTGGTTACCACTGTCTCTGGAATTTCGTACAAGCTTCCCCATGGCAGCTCTCACAGCTGTCACGCCAGGACAGTCTGTCTTGTGACATGCAAGGTCTGCCTCTACATTTGACATCCTGGAGCCTGTGCCTATAGAGCAGGAGCCTATTTGCTTAAGCGTTGTGTAAGTGATGTAGATATACAGGCACGGAGGCTGTAGGAAAACCTCTCAGATGTGCCTTCTCTTTGTGTATTGGTGGAATTTTTCCCCAGTTGCTCCCAAAATCTTAGCCTGTTTTCAGTAAAGGCAGAGCATGAATGAAAATCTTTGATGCAAGATGCTCCCAAACACACCAAACAGGCAACACAGCAAAAACACATGAAGTTGGTTGTGTCTTTCACTAAAATGCAGTTAAAAGCTCCTTCACCCCTAGTATTCAGTGAAGTTTTCTCAAGGACTTTTCCCCACAATGACAGTTGCTTACCAGGCAGCTTAGAGGAAAGTGATTTGAACTCATGATTTCAGAACTGCAAATTAACTTTTTCTAACTTGAATATCACAAAACAATCTCATGACAATCAGGACTAAATTATCTTAGCATGAAGAATTCACCCACATGGGTGAATTCTGCCTTCAGTTTCAGCTGGGATACCTCTCCTGTTGTTCCATTTTTAGCAAAGCCTTAGGTTCAGTGGGACAAAAAGAAGGTGTTTGAGGCATCTCTGTGGTGTGTTTACAGGGCTGCTGACAGGTTTTCCTGGTTACTTGCTCCCTGGTTTTGTGCCTTGGGATTTTTGGGAACCAAGTTACAGAAAAAAGAGCTTGCCTTGAGCTCATTGTTGATGAAAGACAAAAATACAGGGAAAAGCTTTTAGCACACACTTTTACCTAGGCACTGCTGTGCTTCAATCCTCACCATCTGGTCTTGTGCCACTGCAGCTACTTTCTACAGCACTGATACATATTGAACTTTTTGTTCATACCCTTGTCCTGGCTAGGGTTTCTGTGAAGCACATCATTCCCACTGCTCTTCACCCTACCCTAAATAATCAGGGCACTCAGCACTTCTAATCCTCCCTAATTTTTCCTACACTTAATTGTCCCATCACTGTTTGTATGGGAAGAAACAGAGGCTGAGGTACTGCCACAAACTTGACCCTGAGTATTCCTAACACCCAGTTCCATCTTGTCACTAAGCAAAAAGCCTGATTACCTATGCACAGACTTTTCAAGAGTCATGTGGCTGAGATGGCTTGTGATCTCCTCAGGTCCAGACCTGCAGCTTTCTTCCAATAGGAAAATTGAAAAAGAACAAGACCTTACACAGTCAAGCTGTGTGCCTCCCTTTTCAACTATTAAATAATAAAAATTTTTAAATGGACTAGTTGCAACCAAACTTGACACAATTTAAAGTTTCAGGAATAATTTTGCTCCTGAAGCTCAGCAAAATTCAGTGCCACAGTAATTTGATCAACTTGCCACTTCTGCTTGGTGCTCAAGCAGAGTCTTAAAACTTTGGCTGAGCAACATCTGTGACAGAATCTGGCAACTTTCAGCGACATGAGAGGAGAAAATTAAAGCCACAAACAAAGCTACGGTGAAGCAGCAGTATCACAGCTTGCCATGGGTCTGCATCACCAGGAGATCAGCCTGGCTCTCCCTCTGGGCACACAGGGGTTCTTATACCAAACTCAAGCTCTGCTGCAGATCCATCAGATATACCCCTACTACAGCTGTCCTCAGAAGACAAGCTACTACTAACTCTTTACCCCTAAACCAGCATCTTTCTTGAGATCAGCGGCTGCGTACACCCACTCCGATGCATATGTGGAAAGCTTTACTGTTCGAAAGCAGCGCTGGAAGCATGCCCGAGGGATCAGACCCCGGTGAGCAGGCTGGTTTCAGGGCCGAGCAGCCGGAGATGTTGCAGGGCTGTGCTGCTGTCCCGTCTGCGCTCTCCCTGCAGGGCACAGCGCTGCCCGCGGGGTCAGCCACCCTGCCTCGGCACGGGCTGCTTCGCTAACAAAAACTGGGCAAAATGAGCACAGAGCACAGCTGTGTATGTTAACCTAGGTAAGCTAAAGCCCAAAATGAAATAAAATGAAATTCAGCAAGAAAGAGCCCGGACAAGCGCTGAAGCAGACAGGGGAAGGCACTCACTCACCTGTATGCGCCAAAGCTGCTTCTCAGGTAGTCGCTGCTCCAAGCAGATGCAGGGCAGCTGATGGGGGCATGTGCCTTTTATACTGGAGGGAAGTGGACTTGAAGAAGGGAGGGGGAGTCAAGAGGTGGGCCAGCAGGACGTCAGCAGTACTGGGTGAGCAGGATTTAAATTTACAAAAGGAGGAGTAGGAGAACAGAGGCTCTATTAAAAAGCCATTGATCAGGGCAGGGAACAGGGGTTGAGGGTGGCACCAGGGGATTCTAGGGGGGCATGGCAGGATAGATGACTGAGGCGCCCAAGCCCACTATGAAGAGAGCAGAGGGAAGGGGGCTGCTGCCATGTCCCTGTTGTGTTTGTGTGTGTGTGTGTGGGGGGGGGGGTGTGCATAGACAGTTGGGAGCAGCTACACCTGCAAAGGAGACCCAAGCTCCCTGTGGCACTCAGCTGAGATGCTCTCTGTCTGAAGAGCATGTCTGCAGAGGGAAACACTCGTGGCTGAGAATGAGTTGTGGGGAGAAAGAACAGATGGACAGTGGGGAGCTATCAGAGCCAGCAAGCTGGGAGAGTCAGTCCACACACTCCTTTCCCAGCCCTCGTTCCTCTTGCTATTGTCCCATCTTTGGGATGGGATCAACCCACCCATGCGTAAGTTTTAAGTCACACTGCAACACAGCACACAATTAGCTGATTAAATATGTAGTGATTCAGTACTTAACCAGGCTCTTACTAGTTCTATGGCAGAGAAAATTTCATGTGCAGGAGGCCAGCATCTCAAACAATATTGTATTTCCACACTAGGTGTCTCTTCTGAGTGGTTATTTTTAACCCTGTCTCTTGACTAATGTGTCACCATGGCCTTGCTTTTAGTGATCTTGCTGTTCTGGAAGCTAAGACCTTGTTTACTCTGGAGGTTTTCTGGGGAGAGCAGCTGAACTGGCAAGTGCTTCATTCCTTGGGCACCATCCTGCAGAGAGGCTGAGATGTGAAGTGTAACTGGGCTGACTGGGAGCCACAAGCCCTCTCTTCACAGACCCATGTTCATGTTCCACTCCTGGTACCTCAAGGAGTACCTCAAGTACCTTGAGGTACCTCAAGGAAAAAATTTAAGGCTGTGCTTTGAAAGGGAGCTGTGAGGCCTGACCCCATCTGTAAACTGAGACTGCATAGGAAATCCTGCAATCCCACTAGGATGAAGTTCAATAGCAAATATGATCAGTTTTTCTATAAAGACACATCAGGTTGGGAAAACGTCAAAGCACAAATAATGCTATTTTACTGTAGGCACCTCTCAAAAGAAGTTAAATAATTTTATTTCCTATGGGTAATTCTATGAGGAAGCACGGTGAAATGTTGCCTGGCCCTGCCCTTACTAACCATCCAAGCATCAAGTATCACTGGGAGAGTACAGTCACTAATTGCAGGGATTTTTCATTTCTCTATAAAAGTTTGGTTTATGGGTACATGTATGAACGAAAATTTTAAAGAAACCTGAGAAATACTCTTCTGTTCTCCAATTTCCACCAAACAGCATCTAAAAGAAGTGTCTTCCTCATCCAAGTTTTCAAGAGTTTACTCAGAATACTTAGGATCACAACTTCAAAATATAAAGAGCACTTCAAGTCCATGGTAGCACAAAAGGTCTTCCTACAGCTATTACAATCAATAATAGATATACATGCTTTTCTCAGAAATCTCCTTTTAGCATGTTCCCTTTGAACCTTGCAAACACTCCCTACCTAAAAATCAATCAGCGTCCAAGAACCAGGCAGTGGCTGTGCTTCTGCTGTGATAATTTTTTGTGCATGTGTGCAAAGGCTATCTTCTTAGTTAATAAAACTCTTTATGGCTTCTTATTGTAGATATTTTCCCTTAATGTTTTTCACATTTATTTTGATCAGAAAATGTGAGTATCCTTTCATGATCTCAAGCAGGCAATTGCTGGAATAAAGGTTTCTTTTCTCCAGGATATACAGGACCCGTTCTTGCTTTGTTGTTTTGCTAGTGATCCTGTCATCTTAAAATAGAAGGAAAAGTATTTTTCATCCCATTAACTTTTTCTAGTCTTGCTGACACTGCAATGTGAGCCTTTCCACAGCACAGATCAGATAATTTTCACTGATTGTCACCTACATGGAAGTTACCACATAAAACAAAATTATGCAATGTCTTCATGTTAAGAATGTTTGCCTATTGGTAAAGGTTGCTTGCAAAATAATACACCATAAAAAAAAAAAAAATCATTATTAGGAGAGCCAGCATTTAAAATATTCTAATATTATCATCTATCTTCATTCTGGCCCAAAGCTGATCTAGTGTAATATCTTGGTTTTGACAGTGGACAAAGATGACATTTATGGAAAAGTCTAAAAACAGGGCATCTTATTT